ATGCATACAATTTCAAATGATCAGTGTCCTTGTGTACAAACAACTGATATCAGTATTGGCCCTTTAAAAGATTTATAATTAGATAGTATTTGTGTGGGAGGAGGTTGAGGCTTTCCTAATTTGAATTAGGATAAATAATTCAATATAAATGTAATTAATGGTTAAATAATATCACACCTAAGGCCCTCCACAGCAAATATTTTTAACTACTTTATGTACTTCTTGACGACTGCTTAAGTACTAATTCAGAAGGTGCCCCTGTGGGGTAACTTCGGAGTGATATAGGTCCAGTAGGAAGCGACTGAGGTGATGTAATCTGGACTGTAATCAACCATATAGATACAGATATTCTTGATTTCTAAATACCAGCTCAGTTATGAAACTGTCGCAGGGCAATTCCCACCATAGTCTCAGTAAATATTGGTAAATACTACAAAGTTGAACAATTAGTCAAATTAAAGCCGCAAGCAGCATTTGACGGGTCCTCGCCCTACGCTTGTCAGCACGTCAGGGTTTGGCGCAAACGTGCTCCAGGCGGGACTCTGATCCAGCGTGTCGACTTTGAGGCAGATCAGAGCACTTGCGGCCCAAGGACGCAACCACCATGACACAGGTTACAGGGCGGAATCAAACCGCCAACCTTCCGATCACTGACCGACCCGCCTGAGCCTCAGCCGCCACGTAAAGTTTCTGAAAACTTCTCCTGTACTTCTCTACATGTGCACTGCTGAGCTCTGTGTTCAGTCCAGGAACACAGTCCAGTACACTTAGTTTTATAACTCTTTAAGGAAATATGACTACGTACTCACAGTCCATGAGGTAAATGAAAAGGACAATGAGAAATCAGTAAAGTACACTAATGTGATTCAAGTAGCTTTGGTATCACCTTTTAGAGTGTGCACAAAAGGATCTTTGCTTCTCTTTTCACGGGATTCTTGGCCTTTAATAAGTTATTTCTGGAAATGGTTCAACTGATTGCTTCTGATTGAACATTCACATGCTACGATTTAGCAAATGAGTTTTGATTTAAAAACCACCACCTAGGAAGGCGTGCTGCGTTGAATGGCCGCTGCGGCTCTTAACGTCAGCGGAAGGTGGATTCCTTCCTGCTGCTTCATTCAGTCTGACAGCGTGAACACAGGAAGTTGGAGGCCCAGCGCATGTCAGAGGGACGGAAATAAATGCGTTTGGGGTTGAGGGTGTTTGTCCAGGACGGTGCCGGATGATCCATTAAATTTCTAGGGGAAAAAAATGCATATGTAAAGTTTGAGGCAGATTGGAGCAGGTACAGGGTAGTTACACAGTACTTCCTCTTTTATGGCGAAGGATCAAACATCAGAGGGCCGCCGTGGCCACGCCCTTTGACCTTTGCAGATGATTTTGATAACATTTTACCTTCAAGGCGTATTCTACATGCTACCCACGTTTCAGCGCTCTGTGACTTACCCCCAAGGAGAAGTTAGCTCAGATTGGACAAACAAACAATCCAAAATGGCGGACTTCCTCTTGGGTTTAGGGTGTGGCTGTCACTGACTTTTTTGTTCGTCCTGACCTCCTCCATATACCTACCAAATTGCGTAGGTCGAGGTCAGACATGCTTCCGATGAGGTGTGTATTTCCCTCTAATCATAACATTTGTCACCGGGTCTGATATGTGTGCCAGATTTTATGAGTTTTCGAGTACGTTTAGGACCTGAAAAACACGTTTCTTTGTGACCAAGAAATAATGATGTAGCAGTTCCAATAGGGTCCTTCGCACTGCAGTGCTCGGACCCTAATGAATAACAGAAAAAAGTACCAATTACCTCATTTTGACAGTGATCAAGGTTCAAGGTGATGTTTGAAATGCTAAATTTGTTTCCCTTTTCTCCACTAAAATTGTAAGAAAACTATTAGCCACAAAAATAATGTATTTTAAGAGCAACACACACATTTGTGGCCTGTACTGGAGATTAAAACGTTGCATACTCAGAATTTTATCTCAACTGATGCTAACGAGATGCTGCTGTCCTCCTGCCCACCACCACACACACAAACAATCACAATAAGCAGTAATTGTATCACACACAGGCTGCAGGACCACAAAACAGCAGTTTTTCTTTAAATTAAAGGGACAATATTCCTATAGAATTATTTTTTTAACAAATCCTATGAAAGAAAAATATCAAATCTGCAACAGACAAAGCCTACAGGAGCCTTGACTTTTCTGACAAGAGCACTCCATCAGTTTAACATCGCTGCACCATAAGACTGCTGGACGTATGATGGATTGTCAATAAGAAAAGGATCAAAAATCAGTGCGGCAGAAGCAGAGACGTTGCCTTTTTATTCAACACATTGTTCTTCCTTGTCAAAACCTGTAGTGTACATTCAGCGATGGAACTGCAGGGGTGTTACGATGTGAGCAGCTGATGTAGGTGAGCAATTAAGTGACTCACTAGGTGCCATATAAAGATTTACAGCACGTTTTTTGTGCTAATGCAGCAGGGATCTCTGAGATCTGTGAATAGAATTCCACGTGTAAAATCAGTGGAATAGCTGTTTAAATATACACCTGTCAAGTGTTTCCATGTTGTCACTGATTTGAGAAGCACAGGACCGCAGCACACCGCAGCTGCTCAGCAATTTAACACTGCATCAGCTAAACACTGGAGGGGAACAGAGCCTGCGCTCCATAAACATGGCAGTGCCACCACTGGCTTCTCTCACATAGCACCACACCGCACATCACAGCCTGATGAATGTCACGTTTATCTCCACACACAGACTTTGACACTGAGTTGTAATGAAATATACCAGCTCTCAGCGAGAGGTGTGAAAACGAGATAAATGAGTTTAATGAGATCACATTACAGGGAGGGGGAGTGGCAACACACACGCACACACGCACACACACACACACACACGCACACACACACACACACACGCACACGCAATCGCACACGCATGACTCCAGGAGGCGGATGGGAGAAGGGGAAAGGTGGAGGGAAAGCATGCTGAGAAGAAAAAGAAGACAGGTGAGAAAGCAAACAGAGAAGGAAAGCTTAGAAACAAACACACACATAAACACACACACACAGAGGTAATGCTGTATTTTCTGAATGCTGGGTTGGCTCGTCTTCCCTCCTGCAGTGCCAGGGATGGAAAACAACGTGGAGGGAAAGATGAGAGAGAGAAAAAAAACACAAATACAAACAAAAGAAATTTAAGGCGTAGAAAAGGTAAGAAAAGAAAAGTGATTTTCCTCAGGAACCTGGGACCACCGGGTGTGTGACGGCGAAACAGAAGGAAATGTAATAATGATGCACGACGAGAGAGCAAGCAGGCAAAATATCAGCTCAAATCACAGCAACGAGCAAAACTGCACAACAGGTGCTGTAGACGGTTTGAGAAATTTAGTGTACGTTCCTGAGTGTCAGGGTGTGATTTAAACTAAATGTTCTTTGTTTAAACGTTCTTCAAAGAACTATAACTTCCGCTCGACTGCAACTGTCACCTACATCATATCTGATTAAGCAACAACTAGCGAGTAAAACAGTCTTTGAATCTGCTGTTGATGTATAGCGTAAGAACTGAGACGAACATTTTTAACACAACAAGGGTCCAACGCAGTGCACACAGAGCGAGGTTTGAGAAATAAGTCGTCTAGATAGAAATACAGAACACTTGACACTGTGGATAGGCAGCATTTAGCTTACATGTGCAAGTAGAAATTAGAGTATGCAAATGTGACAAATTAATTGGCTACATAGATGGAAATCACTCTTTAGTTCTGTTAATCTAACTCACAAATATCTGCTTTGCTTTCAGGTAGCGGTTTCCCACTTCCAGCCTGCACCAAGTGTCACTGCAGTTGATTTACATGACAAAGAGCAACACCAGTCGTCAATGTGTAATGTTAATTTCATGACTAACTTGGCGAAGCCAAAATGAAACTTTGCTTTTGTTACGGTTGTGGCTCTCGGGAAGCCGGTGGAGAAACAGGCTTTACCACAACACTCAGCCACAGATTGTTTAACAGGTGAAGAGTAAGAAGACGCTTGTCTGTTTCGTCACTCCAGTACCTCTGATTTCTACATTCAATCTTTAGAAAATTTTAAAGTGACAAGAAACATCAATGACCTTTAATTAAAACAAAAAACACTATCTGTCTGATTCATAATGGCTGCCCTATTGCACAGGAAGTTGGCTGTAAAGCACCACATGGACACTAGATGGCGCTGTTAACCGCTGCAGGACTGCAGGTGCTACTGGACAGTCAATATCTTGCCACTGTTTTCACAGACAACAACTCAAACTGCTGACCTATGACCGGCTGATCCAGTTTAGTGATTGCAAAACTCCCAAAAGTTTGTAACCAAGTCCAGTGGTGCAGCAGTGTCCTTAAAGTCAGACAATTTCATAGCAACGGCGACTGCACTGGTGTCTATTATCGTCTACGGTTTTATCACTTATGTGAAAGAGATTATTTTGAAAAGATGTTGTCATCAAGCTATTTTGTAAGCATGCAACTGTGGTCAACCTGTCCACATTTTAAAGGTAAGAAATATGCAACGACTGACTGTAGTGATCTAAGTGGAATGAAGACCCTCAGGTAGTTAGAAGGAATAACTCGTCTTTTTAATGCTTTGGAAATAAAGACTTTGACAGAAAGGTGTGTTTTTGTAAGTTCCTCTCAATAAGAACTTTGTGCAAATTTGTAAGAAAACAGCACCATTTTTGATCAGCAAATCATAATCAGTGGTTCTGTTCAATCAGTGACCAGAAATGAACCAACAGGTGTCTTTGGATGTCCTGAAAGCTCCACTGCCTCATCAGCTCAGCATGTGAACGCAGACAAGTCGTTACTGGTGGCATCTAAATTACACACACAAACACACAACAGCTGTGCACTTCAAATAGGCACCACACACAGCAATTATAAGGCTAAAAATTACAAGGGAACAGTCCTGAAGATGTTTAGAAGACTTCAAGAAAAAAAAAAAAAAGTAGTGACTGACCAGGACTTGGACTGCCCAAAGTGCAGGTAGTTGATGCTGTAGAGGTCCATGTCCTCAGTGTGCCATGCAAAGGTGGTCTTCCACATACCAAAATACAGGTACGGCGTGTTGACGCCCTCGATGACGATGCCACACTCCTGCTCCACCATATCCAGCAGTGTGTTCAGATGGCCGATGTTCCACTCATGAATGTCCTGGACGGCATAAAATGCATTGATAGGATGAGCATGTATGGAAGTCTTCAGGGTTTTATCAATAACCACCAGGTGGTGCTTTAGTCAAACAAATGTGTTCTTGACAGCCCTCTGATTATTAAACTGATCAACATAACATTTAATTCACTGAGCATGGGGTTAAAAGTTACACCAACTTGTGTAGAAATCATATTTGAACAGTGGCAACGAGTCCTAAAAACCCCATATTTATGGTAGCTTGTGCTGAAGGCGCAGTTCATAGTACAATGCAATTAAAATGACTTATTTATCCATTTATTAAAAATCCACCATGGATAAATTAATCACAGGTTGTATTTTGATTTTTATTATAATTAAAATTTTGGAATCCATAAAATATTGTGGAGTTAATTCTTCTTTGTCCCCAAATAACTGCAGAATAGCCTAAAACCACTTACGCAGTTAAGTAATCATGACATCGTTAATCAATGAGCACTAATACACTCTTCAGGAACACACACCCCACTCACCTCATCATAGATGGAGCCGCTAACATCAGCACCATAAATGGGCGACACAAATGTCAGGTTCTTCCAGTACTTCCTCTCTAAGTCATCAAAGTCTTTGTGACGCGGTGTGCAGTACCTGAAAACAGAGCAGGACCGATCATACCGTAAGCAATGATCACAGAGACGGCCTTCTGATTAAACAGTCGAGCATTTGGCAGTATGAGCCGTTCGCAAATGTGTTTTAAACCACCTGCATTGAGCTTGTTAAAGTATGTACAAGTATGTAGCTCTCACTTTCAGTCTACAGCTACCAAATTGACCCGTATAGTGCAAATGAAGCCCAGCTTACTCAGTTCAGCATTTTCAGTGGAAACTTTAAAACTTAAGATACAAGTTTTTTTAAACAGCTTTAACTTCATAGCAACAGAGATGGGAAAAGCTTGACAACAATGTCAGTGTTTTCAAATCTAACACATGAACATTATTGCTGTTTTTCAGTAGTGGTAGTGTTTTACAGGTCCATCCCTAGACAGCATCATTAATCAGGCATCTGTGGTTTCAACATCATCTTCATTTGAGCATGTTACAACCACCAGAGAGAAGAAAAGACATCCAAACACAAAAGTAATGCGACCAAGTGTTATACAGACCTTATAGAAAACATTTACTTCAACATGGTTTCCAATTTAAAAGGGAGGTCTAGAAATCGATTATTTTCATAAACACAAATAGAAAGAAATAATACTTTTTTCTGTTGTGTTCACTTTTTGTTATTGTACTTAATGCAAATAAAAAGAACTCCCCTTTAGGACAACACAATCTCTAAACAGAGAATTATTGAATTACACGGGCGACCGACTTACTTCTTGCTGTTGGCCAGCTTGCGGTACTCGCTCACAGTCATAGATTTCTTCTGGATGTTGTACTGAGTGAACAGACCCGACTGACCGGTCACCACCTGCATGATGGGAGCTGGGATCACCATGTCCTCGATGGTGTCATAGGACCTGCGCGGCTTCCAGCCCTCCGGGGGAATCACCTGGAGAAGGACGAGGATGGTTAGCATTTGTCTGCAGTACGCCGCTACGCAATACACTTTTATTTGGGTGTTCACAACTCCCTAATTAGGCAGGTCAATCAAATTCAATTAATTCCACGGTGCAATTAAACTAATAATTATTTGATTGACAATCCTTTCATGGCAGCCTTGACAGCCAACATGCCAAACAAATAATAATAATAATAATAATAATAATGACAGATCACGCTTTACACTGTTAATTATTCATTCGCACACATTCATTCCAGTGGTGGTAGCTATCCACAGCTGCCCTGGGGCTGACTGACAGAGGCATGGCTGCCATTCTGCCCCTCCAACAATCCATTCCTATGCATTCACACCAGGCAAGGTGGCTGAAGTGTCTTGCCCAAGGACACAACGACCATGACACAGGTTACAGGGCGGAATCAAACCACCGACATTTGACTACCACCTGAGCCACAGCCGCCCCAGTGTTGGTTTTAGCTCCTAATAACATATCAAATCAAATGCTTCTGTTACTTCTAACACACTCTTGGTAATATATTTCGATAGATTTATACATCAACAATCACTTTGGGGAGATCTTTGACTACTTAAAGCAGGAAAAAAAAGACAATAGCTGCTGATGGGATTGTAAATGTAATTCAATTATTGAGATCTTACTATAGCCAGGGAGCCTAATGAACTTTTTTTATTGGTTAGATTTGGAGACAATGCACTTTTTTAATTTCAGTAAAAGCACTGTTCCCAGCCATTTTGCAACAAAGCTACATGAAACAAATGCAACTCATAATGTAGGCAATTGCATCATAGCTCAGTGGTTTCTACAATTCCCACAACTTACCGGTGCTTGTGTTGTAACACGCATGCAGACTCATGAAGTTGAGAGGGGGACAGCATAACCCAGGTAGTTTTCTGAAGCTAAAATTTACAGAGTCCCCCTTAACGCCTCACATACAGACTTTTTGTAGACGTTACAATTTACGAATGGTCCCCAAATGCCTCACGTGCTTGGTAGACACTGCCACACAGCGAGGCATACACAAAGCTGGAGTCAACACTCGCTTACTGCAGCACCCATATCTCAGGCAGGTGCAATAGCAATGTATAAAATGACTTTACCTAAGCTGAAACTTAGTGTATTTATCCACCCAGAGACACACACAGGCCGACCTGCTGAATGTCAGCCAGACCAGAGCAACCAATGAAAACGTTTATCTGCTCTTGACACACATGCAAACAAAACAGTCACAGGCTGGGAGCCCTGATAACACCACCGTAGGTCAGGCTGCACTCAATACGTGATCAGGTGTGCGGGGAAAAGTGCACATGTCTGTGGGTGTTGTCCTCACCTTTGCCAGGCCAGCACGATGAGCCCCTTGACTCTCCATGTAGACTATGTATTTGGCAAAGTCTTTGAACTCTTCCATGGTGGGCCGGAAAGTCATGATCTTGCAGCTGGGGTTCTTGGCGGTGGCTGGCGGTGGTGCCAGCAGAGGGCCCGGGGGCAGCTCACAACCGGGAGTAAGTTCGGGGGCCACGCCTGGGTCTGTAGGCTGAGCTGGGGTGAGATCTGGAGCAGCATCATGTTCTGAGGTCACTGCTGTGTCGGGGGTTTCAGCTATCGCTGGCTCCTTAGTGGGAATCTGGTCTTGGGCTGCGCTGGGGCTGAGAGCAGGAGGCGAGGCCGGGGCAGGGTGAGGAGCTGACACCGTGTCCATGGGCATGTCGGTAGCCATTGAGTTTTTGAGGGATTGCAGGTAAACCTGAAGGGAACAACAAGGACAGTCAGTTCATAGTCGGTCTATTTCACCTTTTTTCAAACAGCTAGAAACTTAGAATGCAAAAGGCAGATTGGAAACAACTATAGAGAGGACAACATGCTCAGAAAAGGCATCTAAATGTTTTAAACAGAGTCTTTTCTTACAATGAAATCATCCAACTTTTTTAATCACAAGAAATGATACATAAGCTCACATTGTGAAGCCTAAAATAAATCCTTGCAAAAACAAAATCTAAACAGTAAAAACAAACAAAATTCAAGTGAAATTAACAAAATATAGCCGTTTTAAAAATGTCAATGCAACGAGTGTGTGAGAGAGTAACGCACACAGATGGACGTGTTCACAACTAACTACACCTGATCACATCTAAGATCAACTCTAAAGCTGGTTGTGATTAATAACAACAACACTGAAGACAGTCTGTATGTTGGAAAAATGCTTTCACTGCACCAAGATGCACTTTTCAATGAAATGTAGCAAAGTTTAAAATAATACAAATATTTGTTTTGTTATTATGTAGCGACAATTGCATTTCTTTCATTGTGATATTATGGATGGTAGTTCCATAGACTGTACATGAAAGACGGACGTAGCAACCACTGGTTTGTGGACCACTGTTGAAGCCTACAGTTTAGGATTTGGCCGTCAAGCGACGGGTGCGTCTCAACAGGGGAGTTCACGATGGTCATATAAAATCACGATGAAAAGCATGTGACCCTCCTTCCTGGAAGGGTTCAAACTGACCTCTGAGGTGAACAGTCGCAGCTCCCAAACCACGTAACAGCCTTCCTCTTTCAATCAAATGCTCCTCCCCCGCTGACAAGAAACAACTCAAGGCGCTGTTTTCACTGGCCTTTGGCTTCTCCTAATGGTCTAAAAATATGTTTCATATAAATTGATCTTACAAGTTGCCATCCTGGTTGCCTGATTTGACTTGGATTTTAATAGTTTGATCCTGTCTTAACGTTTTGCATAAAATGTTGTTGCTTCTTGTCTTTAAAAAAAAAAAAAAAGCACAGCACTTTGGTCAATTCAGGTTGTTTTAAATGTGCGAAATAAGTAAATGCATTCGGTTTTGATTTGATGTTAATACAAATGGCAATATTAGCACCAGAGAGTAAATATCCAAAGAGAAGACAGACCAGACAGAACAAACAACATATGAAAGCAGCTGCTCTGTAGTTTACTGCCGAGCTACTGCCACGTTTGGTTGGATGTTACGGTCATTTGTTTTTTGCATAGCATTAGAACTCAACTGCATTTGAACACAAAGTAAATAAATTACCTTTTCTTTCTTTACTCTCAACTTCCACTCCCCCTCTCTTTACCCATTTCACCTCCCTGTTTCTACACTCGTCAGGCAGGACTTTGCTTAGCTGTGGAGACATTTCCACCTCTTGTCCTCATGTTGACACTGACAACTGGTGCTTTCTTACAAAGGTGTACTTGACCAACCAGCAACAAGTACATGTAAATCAACACTGATAGCAGTGAGACCAGCTGAAAGCAGTGTCTCTGGAGCAAAGACTTTGTGAGAAAAAAAACTATTATGAATTCAGAGTTTAGAGTGAATGTGCACAATTACTCAACTAGATAATTAAACGTTGCTATTCTCACTAGTCAGCACCATAAATACAAGCTGATAAAACTAATTGTTAATATTTGATCAATGCACAACAGCCGTGACCTGTTGCATCTAAGATATCCATCGGCATCTTGCCAATAGCGAGGCTGCTCCCCCAGCAGACGGCAGCCCAGATCTACTCATCCTGATGTTGTCAACCAGCAATGTGAAAAGTGGGAAAGAAGACGTTTTGTACAACCCTCACACTTTGGCAGTATTCTGGAAAAAGATAAACTCAGACCTAATAGAGACGAAGTCAGCAATCTGCTTTGAAAAGCTGCATATTCAACTTCAACAAGGTCCATTTTAACACTTGCTAAAGACGTTCTCTGTTTCTCAAGCAAAGGCTGCTGTTCCTCTAACAGTAGATGGAAATACTGAGAGCACAACTACTGAAATACATTCCTGATAGCATTTCGCTCATTGGCTCTATGGCACTTTTCTAGCTTCCTTTCGCCCTCTGATGAATGTAACATCGATTAGCCAAGCCATGATACGTACCAATATTTCCATCACATATTTGTCTGTTTTTGCTGATCCAAAAAGTTATTTAATCCATGAAGCCATTATATGATATGAACCATGAGTTAGTGCAGCCCTCCTAAAGCGTGGGCTTTGAAGCATCAGTCAAACATCCCTGATTCGAGTCAGATTCTTTGAGTCTAGTGTTAATCCACGTGACAACATGCGGAGCCCTCATAGGTAACTAATGAGAGAAGCTCAAACACAGTTACCTGCCGAGCCTTTCTTAAGCAACTTCACCTGTTGGTAACCTGCGTTTTGGAGTTTAGCTGAACCTGAGCTCAACAGGAGACTACACTGAAAATATTAAGGCCAATTGATGCTTTCTGCATCTGTGTGCCGACCTTGAAAGCAGACAGCGGACACGCGCGTGTTTGTATTCATACAACAATAGGTTCACATCAGTCTGCTACACAGACGATCCGATTTCCCTTCATAACAGAGACAGAAAAAATGTGGGGCTCCCGTGGATGTTTCTTAAAAGTTGGCTGTGTATTGGCGCTGTTAGAGAATATAACAGCTGGTTACAGATTGGGCTGTAGCTCCGTGCTAATGGGATTATTCCTGGGCTTTGCCGAGCACAGTGGGCAGGCGTAGCACAGGGTTCCTGGTGAAACTAAGACTTTGTACTGTGTTTAGGCAAAGCTAATGCAAATCATTTACAAACCAAAGTTCCTGCAAAGTCAGGTAGACTACCTACAACTTTGAAAGTCCTCCATGTCTTCTCTAAACAAGCACAGGCAGACATCAGGCACAGAGAGGTGTGACGAGACGCTCACAGATGTGTGTACAAATGCCGAAAATATGAATTAACACTGAGGCTGTCGACAGAGAAGACTTATAATACTTTTATGTACATGTACCTAGCTTCCTACTCACTCTTGTGTTCTCAGTGTTTTTGAGGGTGAATGGCTGCTACAACACTGCAGTTTCATACCCACATTGTCAGCCTAAGTTCTTGTTCTTGGTTGAAAACGGAAATTTCTTGAAATCCACCGGTACATGCTCGAGCCCAAATCCAGCACAGGCTTTGAAGGTGTTCGACACACATATCCGCTACTAAAGGTTCTGTTGTAGTATTTGTTACTACAAATACTACAACAGAACCTTTCTGTCTAGTAAATATTTCATTCATTACATGATTATTATAAGACACAGCAGGAAATTTAGTCTTTCAATCACAAGCAGTATAGAAAAGTTTCACTACGTATGCACTCATTAATGGGGTGAATGTGGGGAAACGTCTGCTTTCCGGAAGTACGAAAGGTAGCATAAACAGTTGAATGTCTGTGAAGATTCTCAGTCATCCAGGTCATGGTTATTCCGGTAGATTAATCATAGCAACTGGACTTGCTTGAGTTCCTTGAAGACGTTTCACCTCTCATCCAAGAGGCTTCATCAGTTCAGGATCAGGAGTAACTACCCCCACTTGAAACCGAAACTCAGGTGTTAATGGCTCTTCAAGGATATCAGTATGTGGAACTCCCAACTAGTCGGTCAGAACTGATGAAGCCTCTTGGATGAGAGGTGAAACGTCTTCAAGGAACTCAAGCAAGTCCAGTTGCTACGATTAATCCACCAGAATAAACAGTTGAATGTAATAAAACACCACATGACAGCAAAGCATCTCCTTGCACTGACGGTTATTTGTATACTGGAGAGCATTAAATAACTACAATTCCTCAGCTACACTGCTTTCAAGAAAATGTAAGTTCAGCTACCAAAAAGACCGTAGTTTGACTTGATAAGCGAGCTGTGGCTGGAGCAGATGACATATAAACAAATCCATGACAGGCTGATTTGAGTTTGGCATGAAGGTAAAAAATAAAGCATTACTTTTTATTTTACATATGTTTGCCTAGTTCTTGAAAATCTAGTCACATTCAATATGTAAAATCCAACATTATAACACTGATATAGGATAAATGTTCCCGTTAAATTGTCAACTTTCTTAACACAGAGTCGAGATTTGTTTGTTTGCAGATAGAAAAAAAGAGTCAATTTCTGCAGAACACACACTTCAGTGCATCAATTCTGAATCTTCCCAGAGATAAAGTCAATGCATCACAATCACACAAATCCTTTCAGGTCAATTTCCCCGCTTTCAAACAGACAACTGGTATGAAAATAACAGTCTTACACAAACAGGTGCAAGAACTTCACAGTTTGGATAACTTCCTCCACCGCACAGGTCCAACCCAAGCAAACTCATCGACAACTTCTCAGCCACTCTCCCCAACTGCAATACACGCACCACATTCAGGGTTTTATTACACTCGATAAAATAGAGGAGAATGCTACTTGATTTGTCTTGTCGAGACAGACTAACCTGTTTTAGCTCTGCATTTGCATTGCAATCCGTACACATAGTTTGGATGATGCCACATAGTGATTCTAACCTCAACAAAATAAACACACACACACACAAAAGAAAAAGCACCTCTAAACATGCTCTGCTTGCTGCTTGGGAAAGTGACTTCCCACTACAAGGCAAATACAAGGCAAGGCAAACTGCGACTACAATTTAGCCAGTCATTTGCATATAAAGCATGAAACCCTGCAGAGCAGGAAACATGCAAAGAGCTTACAGGGGCAGTCTGGTTTCAAGTGAGTGAATGAAAAGACAGGAGATTAGTAAGCGATGAGCAAATGACCATATCAAAACATTTGTAAATCAATCACTTTACAACACAATCATGTGCTCACTGAGAGAGAGAGAGAGAGAGAGAGATGCCTCCCAAAAGGCAAAAGTTGCTGCCCAAAAATCCGTCCAGCTAACCATCCAGAGTTACTTTTACTTTTACTATTAATAGCCACTATTCCAAAAGGTGTTTTAGATGACCTCACTATTGCCTCTACATATTTTAGGAGCGAGGACCGCCTGTCTAACCGGGACTGACCTCCTCAGTAGATCGAAGGCCACATGACCCCCAGCTGTACAACCACAACAAAAAGGGGCCTACATGGACCCTTTAACTCTATCTGGCTCTTATTTCAATAATGCAGCAAGCAGTCATATGTAATAAGAAGAGGCGACGCTAGCATGCAAGCAGCACGGTGATGGTTAATTCATTTATTGGACATATTCAAGAAAAACCGACGCTAGTGAGTGTCGGTGTCAGTTGCTACAGGCTGCAGCTGCTAAAGGCGACGATAGCCCTGCACAAGTAACATTAACTATTAGCATCTGAACCAAAATGACAGTCAACTAAATACCGCGGCTGAAGCCCTCCACGGTGACTAAAATGCGGAACACGCACGAATACCAATGCAATATCTCCGAGTCCAACATAAACCAAAAGCAATCGTTAGATTCTACAGCGCTAGACTTCACCGCGTCCTAACGTCAGTGTATCCCTAAGCTAGCGATGCCTAGCTTGTAGCTAGCTACTTCCATATCTGCATTTAGAAAAAAACAAAACACCGCGACGACAGAACAACACACATCACGATTAAACGAGAATGCGGCGTTTGCGGTTGGATAAAATAAAGAGGGTTTGTGAAATATTACCTCCTGCAGCAAAATATCGTCCGCTCCCTGTTTGGCTCTATCGATTTGGTTTCGTTTAGTGAAAATTCCCTGGATCGATTTTCTTCTAGCATTAGCTAGCCGAGGCTTTCGCGGACGCACGCCCACTTACAAATCGCCTCTTCCTATTGGTCGAACGGAGCGGTCGTTGGAAATACTGCTGACACCTGATTGCCTCGGGCGGTGACAGACACACTGAGCAGCCAATGGGATCTGACGCTCGTTGCCCTCCATGTTCCGATGCTGGAGTTAGAGTGATGTGCACGCCACACACGTACACACTGCCGGGTTTGCTAAAGGCTGCTACGGACGGTTGGCCATGAGAAAAATAAAACACCCTACATGCAGGTACATATTTTAATCATTATCACATCCCTAGATAAAGGTAAGATTTGTCAAGGCCCCTAATATCATGCTTTATTACTTAAAGTTGAATTGGCTATAGTTAGAGCATGAACAAGACATAAGCATTTCCATTGCAAAATTTTTAAAGCAATGTGAGAAAAACCAAAAGATATCAGCAACACCAACCCCTTCTTTAAAGACAACACACTCACTTTCCACTTTTTTATTATTTATTGAGTAACACTGAAAATGTATTGACAAAATTTTGCACGAAACGTGTGCAAGCAATCCTAAAACTACATATCAAAACTAAAATGGACTAAAAATTATACAATTTCAGAAAATATACATTTCCCAGTCTATGCAAATATTTGTCTCTCCATCAAAACGTGAACTGCTGGCATATTGACAAACTGCTCTTTGAAATTCAACACTAAACATTTATTTAAAAAAAAAACAAAAAAACAAAGGCAACGGCAGAAGTAGTAAATAAATTCAATTTAGTCAAATTGCTATCATATTATATTTCAGGAGCAGAGTGTTGAATTTCCTTGACGGTAAATGCGAGCATTTCTTGTTCCTAAATGAGGTCGGGTATCACGAGCGACCACTGGAGACACAAAAGACTGACTGAACACCCCCCCACACACAGATGGCAGTAATAGATTAAAAGATGAAAAAGTACACATTTCAACTTTATCAAAAATACAAATCAAGTTTCTAGACTCAGTTAGGTTTGAGTGTCAGGGACAACATCTAGAGAGCTAGATAGATGGGAGTTCTACGTTACACTCTTGGTTAAGAACTGTCGTTTCTTTGGACTTTATCGAAGCAAATCTTTTCAAAAACGAGGGAAATCCAAATGCATGCCTCAGAATAAAATGTCTGTAGAATTCTATCACGTTTGGTTTTCGAGGTTTCGTCCAATTCATTTCAACTTTAGGCAGACTTTCGGAAACTTCATGTACAATTACAAAGGATTCCTGTAGGAAAATATTTACGGAACCAGTACACAAGTTAGAAAATCCAACAAAGTTTGATGACACAGTTTCAAGACACTTTTTCTCTGTTCAAGTGCAAGGAAACAAACAAACAAAAAAAAAACACCTTCTGATTCAGTTTGTGCTTGTATGTTTTTGGAGCAGCTGTTGGTTCTGAAAGCCTTTCTGTTCACCTGTCATGTTAGAGTACTTCTCACCATCTAATCATGCCAGAACAAACTAAAGAAAACCAATTAAAATTTCAACTGCATGATCAGCTTTTAAAACAAACAAACAAACAAACAAAAGCACTAAAATGATAACCAACCACAGCCAACCTAACGGCAACACTAATAATAGCCTTCTACAAAAGCATCTCCAAACAAGTTGGGAAAACGGCTCAACGTTCTCTTAACGAGTGCTAAACACATAGGGATTTAGTTAAAAGTGACAATTTTACAATATGGATAACATTAGCATTAGTTAAGGAAACATAACGAAACGCTGGGAGTAAAAAAAAAACAAAAAAACAAAAAACAAAATTTAAGGATGAAGGTATTAATGGAGTACAGCCAGTTACAAAAGGAATCTTCAATTTCTCATTAACACCACATCATGGCAGATCCAAGGTGACAATGGTAGCATTGAAGTCCACAAATATTGTAGTTTTATAATCATAGAAAATATATTAAGAGAAACTGATTCTTTATTGCCTCTACTGAAAATGCCCCTTAAAGTTTACATCGCGTTTCCTCGAGGGCTGAGTAGGCAGAACCAATGATCATCGCCCGTTGCTGTACCCTGGGAAAAACTGATTTAGAATGGCTTGCAGAGATTTGTTGACAGACATGGAGTAGTTCTTGCCCAGGTCGTGTCTGCAGGCCGGGCAGGTGTACACCTCTGCTTTGAAGGACCGCTGGAGGCATTCCTGGAATAACAAGGACAGAACTCAGCTTTTAACGTTTTGTTTTGATAAAGCAACTGCAGCGACAGGTCAAAGAACAAGACGTTCCTTATGTTAGATGTGAAGGTGTCTGCAGGTGGAAGCTAATCTGTATTCATGTCTCTTGTATTGCTGCTGCTACTTGGTGATAATTTATCAAGTCAACTTTGCATCACTTACTAAACTTGGGACAGTAACAGTTTCTTACCCTGCAGACATTGTGTTGGCACTCTGTGGTGATGGGCTGATAGACCACTTCTTGGCAGCAAATGCAGAGGAAAACTTCTTCCACTTTGCTCAAGAATTTCTGCAGAAACAAAACAATTCAAAATGAATTACAGTCCATCAATGGATTTTCAGCTTTCTGCAATCTCGCGTTGGATTTATTAAGCAATTCAGTTGCCATTTGCAAAGAAATAAAATAAAATCAAAATGCTACGACTGCTAACAAGTTCCAAAGCAAAATAGCAGCTCAGTGTGGTTTCAACCAGCAGCAAAATCCAGCACTGCTCAGGCCTTTTTATTCCACAAACCAGACGAGCTACTCATGTCAATCAAACTTAGATCTCTTATAGTGAGTCACTGCTGGTACGAGGCAGCATCAGTGGCATTATGTTTCTTCACTTCCAAGGTATAACATGTTTGCCATATTTAGCCTTTTCACTGGTGGGATTTCATGTTAAGTGTTTCGCTGTAGTAAATCTGACACGCTGGGCATCTACTAACTTCTAAAATAATATTTATTTACAAATGAATAATGTTTCAAAATATAAAACTACTGTTGGTTTACAAATCTGAACCTTTAGTGACCCTCCTGCATGCAGCACAAACACCCACAGCTGTCCAAACATTAGTATTTAAAAACCCTTCTGGTGATCTGACGAGATGATCAGCCGTCCTTACCGGCCCAAGTGACAAGGACTCCATGGCTTCATCCCACAGCTTCTTGTTTGGCTTGTCGTTCTTGATGAGGGATTTCTGCTCCTGGGAAAGCTTGTACACCTCCACCTTGATTTTCTTGGGAGTTTTTCCTGGTGAGGTCTTGGAGGTTTCTGAGAGAAATCAAGAGACACGTTTTCCATTTAGTAAGCAGGGCTCCAGAATACATGTTGTACTCGTAGCACTGGAGCCAACAACTTTATCAGCTGGTCGCAGCAGCAACTAATTTGGTCAATAGTGATTTGTGGCTCAATGTAATCGGGTACTTTTTCTTCTTCACCGACTCTGACAATCTCTCTGCCTGCAGCCTACACCTTTATCACCAGGTGTACTTGAGTCAGTTCTGTCCCTCTCCACCAGCCTCCTCCTCTTTCTCCTCATGTCGTTTTCTAAAATAATCAGCTATCGATCATTTCATTACCATTGGTTTTGCTTAGGCTCATCCGGCAAAGTCATTTTTCTGACAGATATACTGTCCGCCACAACAAGCCCGATGTATAGCTCTTCCTCTTTGATGGGGCAAGAAAATAAATAAAATAAAATAACATACCGCTGGCCTGAGATTTTCTCTTCCTCTTTGCTTTGCTGGGTGTCGCTTCCTCCTCCACTTCGTTTTTGTTCTCTTTCTCTTTCTGATAGCCGGCAGGATACTAGAGAAACAAAAGTACATTCAAATGGTTTGCAATTATATTAGTATTAATGAGAGCTAACAGTCTGCAGGTTGGGAAGTTGAACAGTTCTTCTAACATATTGCATTTACCAGGTAACTTTTACAGTGCTTGCATGTCAACATATTTACAGCAGAGGAATTCCATGTAAAGACCATAAAAACAATACAGGAGCTCTATTAGCAACAATCCCCCCATTCAAGGCACATAATACACTATATATTGAAACATGAACATGCGTTATCAAATGCCTGCTTAACACCCTAATTGACAGCCCGCACAATGTATTCATTTCTACCTGCATGGCGAGACCAAGCTTCTTGATGCGTTCTTTGCCGTCTCTGGTCCACGGTGCCGGCTCGTCGTCATCACGCTTCAGCAGATACCGCCAGACTAAGAATCCAGACTTGCCCTTGTCCGGCCAGTACTTCACCACCTGCAGGAAGTTCAAGATGTGAAGTAAAGGTTGCAAATAGATGCTCAGAGTTACAAGATTATTATTCATGTCTTCAAGCTAGTTGGGTTACTTGTAAATCAGTTCTGCTGAGGTTAAAAGATTCATTTTATTTATTTTAGAAGATCTTTACAGTTTAAAAAAATTTTTTAAAAATCACACAATTTATCAGTGTCATGAATTCATTGTCAAAACATCATGGTCAATCCTTTAAATCACTGCCATAGCTAGTTGACACGTCCCCTGCTCGAAGTCCACATACCTTATATATCCCATCATATCGGTTTCCTTCCTCGGGGCAGAATTTACTGTGCTTGCGTCCTTTGCAGCTGCGCACAACTCTAACTGATTTGCCCTCCTTCCAGTTCTTGGACTCTGCTCCATTTTTGTCGTTGACGGGGACGTTGCAGTTGAGAGCCAGCGCCCTGGTGGGACCCAAAGCAAACCATTTAGATATACGTATAAAAACTAAACAGCTAACGTGGTAAATAAAATGAGTTGTGTTGTCATGTCCTTCAGTGTCGTACCGGTTCATGTGGGTCAGCGTCTGATCACAGGATTGCTCAGCAGTCCTCTTGTTTCCAGATAGATCTCGGCCTCCAGAGCCGGTGTAAGTGAACTCATTACCATCATCCTACAGTGGAAGACAAAAACTAGGTTTAGCATCAAAATGAGAATGAACAATAAGACTGTTACCATCATCAGAATATAAACATTAGTTAAGCCTCTTCACTTTAAAAAATAAAATTAAAAAATGCACATAATTTAATTACACTAAAACTGTCAGCTAACGGTGTCTTTAACCTTGTTAAAAGTAATCCCCATCTTTAATATAACTACTACTAAAAATCAAACATCATACCACATCATCCTCATAGCCTCCTGCCAGGACCAGAGAGTAGGCACCATCGTTGCTCCTGCCATGAATTCCAGCCACATGAGGCCTGTGGACTCCAGACTCACTGACCTGCCAAAAAACAAAGAACATCAGTATTATTGCAAGCTACTGTCCCAACATTAGGAGATCACTCCAAATAAACAACAAACTTAAATTAAAGCCACAAGCAGCATTTAACAGGTCCTCGCCCTACGCTACGTCGGGGTGTGGCGCAAACATGCTCCAGGCGGGACTCTGATCCAGCGTGTCGACTTTGAGGCAGATCGGAGCGGCCCAAGGACGCAACCACCATGACACAGGTTACAGGGCGGAATCAAACCACCAACCTTCCGATCATTGACCGACCCGCCTGAGCCACAGCCGCCACGTAAAGTTTCTGAAAACTTCTACTGTACTTCTCTACATGTGCACTGCTGAGCTCTGTGTTCAGTCCAGGAACACAGTCCAGTATATATTGAATGGCCGCTGCGGCTCTTAACGTCAGCGGAAGGTGGATTCCTTCCTGCTGCTTCATTCAGTCTGACAGCGTGAACACAGAGTAAGTTGGAGGCCCAGCGCATGTCAGAGGGACGGAAATAAATGCGTTTGGGGTTGGGGGTGTTTGTCCAGGACGGTGCCGGATGATTCATTAAATTTCCAGGGAAAAAAAAAATGCTGGCCAAATTTGAGGTGTGTAGGAGTTAACCCCGAGGAGGAGATAGATTTTGAAAATGGCAAAAATCACTAAAAATTGCACACTTGTGTCAAAATGGCGGACTTCCTGTTGAGTTTACGGTTTGGGTCCAAGAGGCTTTATTGTGCATCCCAATGTGTTACATATGCTTACCAAATTTTGTAAACGTCGGTTAAATGTCCTGCGGGGGCTAATAGATAATTGCTGCAGGGGGCGCTATAGAGCCATTTTGCCAAACAGGCACACACTGTCTGTGGTTTCAAAGCTTCCAAAGCTGTCCAAAAAAATCCTTTCCATGTCATAGCAACTATGCATCGCATGGCAACACCGTTGCTTGAAACCACAAAAGCTTCACACTGTAGCATCAACAATGTGGAAAGACTTAGCTGACCAATTTTAGGAATGATATTACAAAGTTTGGAGCAATGGCACAAGTAAGTGTAATACCTCAAACAGACTGTTACCAACAGGTGGCGCTATGACTGTGAATGGATTTTGGCATATGGATGTGATCAGGACAGCAGTCTGATCAAATAGGTAAAGTTTGAGGCAGATTGGAGCATGTGCAGGGTAGTTACACGGTACTTCCTCTTTTATGGCGAAGGATCACACATCATAGGGCCGCCGTGGCCACGCCCTTTGACCTTTGCAGATGATTTTGATAACATTTTACCTTCAAGGCGTATTCTACATGCTACCCACGTTTCAGCGCTCCCCCAAGGAGGAGTTAGCTCAGATTGGGAAAACAAACAATCCAAAATGGTGGACTTCCTCTTGGGTTTAGGGTGTGGCTGTCACTGAGTTTTTTGTTCGTCCTGACCTCCTCCATATACCTACCAAATTGCGTAGGTCCAGATCAGACATGCTTCCGATGGGACTCTGTTGAAATTTCCTAGGTGGCGCTGTGGAGCCAGTTTTCTATTGAGGTGTGTATTTCCCCCTAATCATAAAACTTCTTACCAGGTCTGATGTGTGTGCCAAATTTAGTGAGTTTTCGAGTACGTTTAGGACCTGAAAAACGCGTTTCTTTGTGACGAAGAAATAATGACGTAGCAGTTCCAATAGCGTCCTGCGCACTGTAGTGCTCGGACCCTAACAAGTTCAAGCACCGTGTTGCAATAGAATTAGACTGACCTGCACTCTGAACTTCCAAAGGGAGCCGACAGGGATGCCGGGGATCGGGCCGTAGTGGTTGGATGGAACAATGGTGCACTGCTTGGTTCGACCAACACAGGCCATTCCCTGCAAGGTGAAGAGTAAATTGTACTTAAGACTTCTACATTCAAATCATTGTATTATCGCAGTGAGTTGTCTACAAGGACGCTGAGCAGGTCGGCTGTAAGATATTTAGCCTACATGCATGAAGATGTGCTATAAAATGATCTCGGTCAAAATCCACACAGAAATGATATTTTATGATAACAACTGAATGTAACTATAAAGTCTTCAACCTGGGGAATAGTGTGTTGCTGTCCCAGTCATAGAAGTGACAAAGTAAGATGATAATTTAAAAATCCAAAGATTATTTATGCACATATGAACAGAATTCGCTCACCTTGCCCCAGTCCCTCTGGCTGGAGGAGCTGGCAGAAGCCATCTTAGCTTTCTTCTTGCTCTCCTTTAGCTTCTCTCCAGCGCGCACAACCTCACTGGTGTCATTGCGGCAACCTGGGCAATACCTGAGATGGTACGACATGAAAAGGTAAGAGTCAAGCTCAACACATTGATAATTGTAGTAGTTTTCTAAACAATGGTTGGATTGTTGACATCTGACTCTCATTTCAATGTTTAGATCGCAAAACCACAACATTCATTATAATGTCATTCTTTAGTCATTAACATTTGACTGGTAATAATTTCCTAACTTTATATTCAATTAAATGACAGCTTATCTGAAGTCATCAAGTTCCAAATCTACTGACCAGTCCTCGTCTTCAGGGATGGATGTGAGGGGAGGGTTCAGACAGTAGGTGTGAAAGGCCATGTCACATTCATCACACAGCAGCTGTTTGTCAGGATCCTGCTTGATGCCACAGATGTGGCAGTTACACCACTGACAGTTTTTATTGGGGTCATCCTTGCAGCGCTTGCACTCGGGTCCATTAGATCCTGGAGGATACATACATGTCATCATATTATACGCTATGCAGCATTTCATTATACAGCATTTTCATTTGGGTGAGCAACGGCTGGTTCCATACATACAAATGAACACTACCAGTACGATCCAAAATTTAAATTCACATGATTTACAAGTCAAAATATTGATAGCTACTAATACACTACTTTACAATTTTAGAATTTCAACCTACTTTTTAGTGGACTCTCTGATCCAGCTGGGGCATCGCCCAAAGAACCAGCCTCCTCAATTTTGTAGATTTCAGTCAGAAACATGATCCGGCAGTCATTAAGAGAGTCACCAGCCTCACTGCAAACACAGAAAAACAAAATGTCAGGGTGTCCTACATAGCAGAAATACAGTAAATACTGAATCAAAACATAAAACTGCAGGTGTATGAATACATCAAAACATGGTAGTAGGTTTTTTTCCCCTTTTGTGTCTAGGTAAAAATAAAATTCAAAACATCATTCACACATAATGAATATGAAAGCGTTTCATACACCGACTTGTTCTTCGCTACATAACACATCCTGCAATCAGCTTTGATACCACAGCAGGAAATCTGTTTCCACCCACCTGCTGCGGTGGTATCCAAAAACCCAACAAACTGAAATACTGTGACAATGGAACGTCAAGATAATGCTCACCTGCCACCGCAGCTAGCAGAGCAGATATTTTCTCAGATATGATAGATGGCAACTGACTCGGCAAAGTATTTCTCTTCACATGCAATAACTTCCTTACCCAAGGATAATCTTGGCATAGATCTCTCGCTGGGTGCGCGTCTCCCGCTTCCTCTGGATCTCAGCATCGTACCAGTAGCCACGATCCTTGGGCTCATCTGGGTTGTAGTTAAGCATTACGATCATCCCTGGTTCCAGTTGGTGCCACTGGTAAACTGTACGGGCTCGAGGACGCACATCCTTGGCCAGCAGCTGAATCACTCCGTTCTCTGGGTAGCTGTGACAGTAAACGTCATAGCATGTTATTTTGTAGTTCACAAACAAGGCACACGCCACCACAGGTGTTTCCTACACAACGGTGCGTTAAAGTGTAGCTGACTTTATGAAAACATGTTCGAATGGGGAGGAACGACTGCTCGTGCGGCAGGTGTCGACAACTTCCCCTCTCAGAGGAATTTTGCCTCCAACACCAAAGCACTAGTGAACGTAAACACAAATCCAGAGGAACCACAGACAGTCCAGTGTTTTAACCATTAGAGCTACTAATTCATGAAACCACACTGACTGCTGAGTGTGACATGGTCTAAATTAGTCATGTGCCTGCAAATCTACTAAGCTTCTATAAAGCATTTTGACTTAAGAGGAAAACACGTTTCATAGTAAAGTGTCTCATTGGGAAAGATGAGCATCCTGACTGTCAACTCTGATCTTGTTCAGCCAATTAGGTAACACGAATAACTTCTAGAGCAGGTTTGTCAAGCTAAATGTAGACATGCAATTATCCTGTCAGCCTGTCTTTCAATTCAATCTATTACATGACTTGTATTAACACCTTTAAGGAGACTGACATAGTGTAAACACTTCTAATGTTGCATATTCAGCATACTGACAGTCCATGTGTGCAGCTTTGACAGACTGAGGGTCACTTCCTGAACCATTAAAAAGCATCCTTTAGTTTAGAGGGCATCAAAAACTACTGTTTTAGTTTTGTGTGTTCAAGAAAACATTGAACAGTAGCTACACTAAATCTTTCTCTTTTCACATAATGATGCTGACGGTTTTCTAAAACTGGACCGAGCTAAATGAATGTCAAGCAGTGGTTAAAAGCATACATCATGAACAGAAAAATGATTCTTACTCTTCATATTTAACGTGGTACAGTATCTCCTCCTCTGCCGGCTGGGCCTCCGCGGCCTCTTCTTTAGGGGTCTTTGGGGTCTTCGTAACGTTGACGACCTGGGCCTCAAACCACGCGCCCATGTTTAAATCTCTCGCATCCACCAGCTCGTTGATCTTGAAACACAGAGAGGAAAAAAAGGTGTTCAGAGACTTCTCACTGCCATTAATGCAACCTAATAAATTCCACAAATGCATTGTAAAATTCAGCCCTGTCAGAATGTCTAGAAGTAGTAAGCTAATTGTAGAAACTGAGAACACATTCCAGCCACTGCACCCCCACAGTTGTTATCCGAGTTGCCTACATTGTAGATTCACAAGTTTATTATATGAACAGCCTTCACAATCCTAAGTGGAGAGCTGAAGGCAGCAACCCTGCAGAGATGGATTCCACAAAGTTCGGCTAAAGCTGATAAGGTGTTTAAGGAAACAGCTCGGGCGGTAATATCAATCAGATGCATAGCATAACTTAAGTTCTGCAGCATCACATAACACATTCAGCTGACTGAGCGATGCAACCAAGCACTGGGCTAGACTGAGCCATTTACAGAGACATGCAATCTGACCACCCCAAAAATCAAAGTGGTTATAGTTGATGTCTCAACCGGCAAATCTGAAGAGCACATCGGAGAAAAGGGGGATGAAATGTTGCTTAAACATGGGCATAACTGTAGACATTTTTTTTTTTTTAGACAGTCTCTCCAGAAGCTGTTCATGGCGCTGCACTCAACAGCCCAAATGAAAAGTGTCAGAAATTGCAGAGTGAAGAATGGAAAGAAAAAAAAAAGAAAAGAAAAGTTGGACAAAACATGGTTTCTCTGTCGCCTCTGCACAGCTCATTAATCACTGCATGGAGCGCGCGCGAATGTCAGATTTTCAGTTTCAAACGAATTACAGAGAGGGTAAGAAAAAGTCCCCACTCAATCTGATTTCAGAAAGGTGTAGGATGTTTCTGAAGCTATTCAATGTTCCAGCGCGTAGTTCTAGAGAAGCATGCTGGGGTTTCCTGCTAAGAAAAACTGAACCATTGTAGCTATTTAAATACTTTTCGTCTTAACATAAAGTAGCTTACACCACTTTGAGTATGACTTAATGTGTCATTTAACTAAGCATCTAAGATTATCAGGATGCTGTTGTAGACGCAACAGTGCAAACAATTTATTTTAATCAGTTAAAAAAAAAAAAGAAGATAACATGTCTTAGGTGGAGTCTGGACGAGACAGTAACTTGGATCAGTGAACCGTAGAGGAGCACGTATGAGGAATGGCCAAGAATTTTAATTTTAATTCCTTTTTATTTCCCAATGCTTCATTCCGACATATCTATCTGGCACATAAAAGCCAAACTGGTGGTTTCTCTATTTTACATGTTATTTGATTAGTTTCATGATCACTTAACAACCTGTGTAGACAAACAAGTCAAAGACTACAGCGTGTTTCAGATTTTCCACTTGTCCATAAAGCAAAAGCAACCAGGAACCCCTAAACACACAACGCCTCCTGTAATCCCAATGAACATCTTTAAAACATACCTTGTAAAATCCGAATCCAGGATCGATGAGTTCTGGAGTGTTTGCCTGGGCAGAGGTGCCGGCGGTCTGACCCTCTACCTCACCGTGAGTTGAGCTCTTGTCTGACTCGCTTTGGGTTGAACCACAGCCAGAATCAGAGTCCGACAGCTCGGCTTCTTTGTCCTTGCTTTTGACGACATCGACGGGGGCCATCTTCTGCCTGACCAGCAGCTGCACTATGTCGTTTAGACCCACGTTATAGTCAAAAATGGTATGGCCGTCCTCCATCTGGCACATTAAAAATATAAAACTTGGTTAAATGGAGAAAGTCACCATTTCCTACTGTTGTTTCAGAGGTGCTTTATTGTTTCAGCTGTTGTCTTTATAGCTTTGTATTTTATGCATTCTGCGCTTTGTTTATGAGTAACAGCCACAACCGTCACCCATATCATTTCCATAATGGAAGTTTTATGTTACCCGAGACTGAATAAACAAAACTCCAGAAGCTAACAAAATGTTGCCCTTTATTAGCTACGTTTCTTTAAAGGGTTAATACCCCCATGAACGACATGAAAGGCATGCTGTCTCACCTGCTTGCCACGGTAGAAGAGCCTCTGCCTCTCGGGCTCCACCTTGAAAAGCTCCGCGATTTTGACACGAAGCTCGTCCACCTTGGTGAGTTTGGACAGGGAATCCACCCGATGGGTTTCCTTCCCATCCATTGTGCGCACTTGAATCCACATTGCAGCTGCCCTGTGTCAACAGCCAAATCATCACCCGATTATGGCACATTAGTCATTCTGTATGTAATGACAATAATATTTACTGGATCCTTTCATCGTGACACTTTTAATAATGCAGTGTTCCAAAACATTACACAAAGCATTTCTAATCAGCCAAAATATTACACAACCACAAAAAAAAATCATCCTTATGAGTGTTCTCTGGTTTTGTTTTGTGAAGTTTATTGGGGAGTGAAAAAGCACTTCATGTCAACGAACACAAGCACAAATGTGTGTGCGCTAATTATTTGTATTTTAATGCACTTGAGTGAAAAAGTGGTGCAAAAAGTTTACCCAATTTTTGCTTTTTTTTTTTTTTTACTTCCTGGAACTGACAAGACATTACAGTACATTGTTATGAAGAAACTGCAAAAGAATGATACGATTTTCCTCAGCAAACTGTATTAATTAAGAAAGGGAGTAAGGAAATAAGTAAGGAATAAGGAAAGGGAAAATGACCCACACAGGTATTGTTTGCTTTGAGCCACAATTGTTGACGTATGCATATACATAAAATATCTGAATGAAGATCAACATAAAAACCTTGAGTCTGTCCAAGCAATGCAGCATGACAATTTCCAGGCAACCAATTACTATTTTGAAGAGTATTTCTACAGTTTTGGATTTGCAGATTAACATCTTAATTGAGATGATCTTACTCTATACGCACTGTAATTTTTTTACTTGCACATTTCTGAGATTTCTTCCTTAGAATTATGTCAAAACTGAACTTCCTTGTACCAAACAATAAAGACAGTGATGTTCACACCAAGCAGCTCAGATTTAAAATGAACTTTTACCCCATTTTTAACACAATGTGCTGTTCAAAAGCTTTGTGTGGGATGTGCATTAAAGTCATCTTCAAAGGTTAAGATTTTTTTTTTGCTTGTTTTTAATGGATTAAATCAAATGAACTCCACAGAATGAGTAAACGTCCCTCAGCAGCAGACATATGAGTGTCTCGCTGGCTGCTCGGTGTATTGTGCTGCTGTCAGCACTGGGCTGTCACTTCAACAGAGTATCAGAAAGGGAGGGAACAGGCTGATTTAAATACAGTGCGGGAAACTGAGCTGCAGGCCACTCCCAGTTCTTTTAAAAGCACATCCGGACGCGAGGGAGCGCTAGCAAACAATGTGCCTTCGCTCTCTGACAATAAAACACACCGAAATACTACCTCAGATGTAGTTTTGAATCGAGTATTACACCGACGGAGCGAGTATTTGGCCCGCATGCATCGCGCTTTGTTCCTGTGTATTAATAAGCAACGAGCTCCGCGGCTGCATCGCTTTCACATTTGCGCTCCCAGCTGAGGTCTTGTTCGCTCTGCTGGCTCGAAATAAACCAACAGCACGAAACAAAACATGACCAATAACATCGAAAACAAACTACTTCCTCGCAACCCCAGCATGTGCTATTTCACCGAAAACGTTCAATTTTTTTTTTCAAAATACAAAACATGAGCCAATTGAATACCAGCCAATACGGACAAACGGGAAAATAGGCAATCTGGGGGTTAGCCTATTTGTTTTTCTTCATGTGAAGCAGTCCCAAAGCTAACTGAGACTTCAGCATGTAAGCAAGATTGTGTAGCTGTACTACACACACACACACAACAATGATGATAGGGGTCGAGTTCATCACCCACCCATTTCAATGCTTACAGCAAACCACGTTACAATTTATTGTTACACAGCTTTCAACTAGTCTGTTAGCAATAAGAAGTCCGAGAATAAGGAAAAGCACGAAAACTGTCCCGGTAACTAAAAACTGAGACTCATTTTAAATTTTACGTTCGGTTGCCTCGGTAACTTGGTGCAGCAAGCGAAAAGAAACGAGGCAGGACTTTGTCAAGTTAGCTAACCACAGTAAGCTAGCTACTGAGTGAGGTTATCAATGAGTACAATTTCAAAAGTTACTATAACACGAGAAAAACAACTGCTTTACCTGTTTGTTCGTCCAAGTGGAAGAAAGAAATTGACGTTGAAGGAATAACGTGCACGTTTTCCCCAAATAACTTCTTTGCAGGGTTGGCACGACCAACTCTATGCCTTGTTGGAGATTGATCAATGAGTTATTCTTCAAGACTTTGATATCCCGCCTGCTCCAAAAACTCTGCTCCGCCATTGGCTACTTGCCTCCAACTACCTCGATCTAATTGGACAACAGAGCTGTCAATCTACGATGTGACTGGAGCTTAGCCTCAGCGCGCGAAACGACGTTCTCGTGGGTGCAACTCGCCTCCTGATATTTATCGCGAGATTACGCAGCGCCCCGTAAACCTGTAACCCAGAGAGACAGATGGTGGTTCTGGTAAACAACCTCACTGGTAGGGCTGTTTGTCATGGCTGAAGTATGACTGCTTCATTGTTTGGCTTTAGAATGAGTTTCCTTCCTGCAGCTAATCATGTAAATATGTTAAACTTGGTTGTGGAGCCCCCCGACGGGCTCTAATAATCCTGTTTAATTAATGATGTGCAATTACCTCCCCCTCAGTTTGGCGGGAGCTGAGAGTTAATGAGGCCAACTCAGTTCAAAGCCGAGCCCTGGAAATGAGAAGTAGGTGTAGCAACGTGTGGAGGGAGGATCTGTGTTTGGGTGCATGGGAGAGAGTGTGTGTTTGCTTGCAAAATTGATGCACTCTGCAATAAACCGCTTTCTTTACTTGTGTATGTAATGCCTGCTATTTCTTAAGTGATTTTGTCGCCTCATAACCTTGTGGTCCATTGATCCATGTGACATCAGATCCTGACTTTAAGTCTGGTTGTCATCTATGAATTAAAAGCACATCCAAAGAATAGTTGTTTTTTTGTTTTTCAGAAGGAGGAATTCTGTCTGTTGGCTCTCCTGAATCCACATGTGGACACAGCTTCTTAAATATTTTATGAAATGTAAATCACACTGTAAAAAAACATAGCTTAAGTGCAACTGTCTGCATTATTCACAGGAGTCCTACTTATTAACAGAAGCTGTACGTTTGATTGCATGTGATGAACAACAAAAAAATTAAACTCTGAAAACTCTTTATTTCTAAGAATTCAATAAATCTGCTACGTGTCTTTAATAAAAAATAAACTACTGTGGCTTGCTACAAAAGTAGACGTCACCTGTGAGAGGCGAATTTGTCTGTAATGCTGCTTCTCATATATAGGCCACAATACACGTAGAATACACATGTAGAATACTCATACATATGGAATAAACCAGGCAGGTGAAGGTTTCACAACAAGGCTGTAGATAAAGTCAGGTCAATAATGGGCATAATTACAAACTGGAAAAAGTTGCATTAAACAAGAACACACCATAAAGAAACTCTCAAAAAGACACATATAACCAGAAAAAAACAATATGAGTAGAGCAGCTGCAAATATATGAAACTTTACCTCTAATGAAGAAAACAGAAGTGAAATCACGGCTGGCACCACAACATTATTGCTTTGAATGCAATGAAAACATTTGAAAATCTGCCCAGCGTGTTTTAGAGCATTCACAGCCATAAGAGGACCTCAAAAACTTCAGAAAACACTCAGGTTGGAGCAGGAAACTCATAAACTCTTGCATGTAAAGAAACATGAAAAGCATTTTTTGTGAAATTCTGTTATTAAGAGTCAGTTCAAAGTCAGCAAGAAGCCGGTAAAGTTGTTCAGTTAAGGCGAGGAGACAAAAGGTTACAACAGTAAGTGAATTTTACAACATTTGCAGCTGTTTACCCTTTCTTTTATTGCTCTTTTATTCGTGCTGCTCTGCTGTCCACACTCAGAGCTTCACTCATTCACTCCCGGGGCTGCCCTGCACAACCTCAGCCATCAAGCAGAAGAAGCCTTCCTCATTCATCCACGCAGCCAGTTCAGCACATGAACCCTTGAAGTCCACTTGTGTGACCCCGAGACGACCATCGACTTCCAGTGATCAAAGCTGCTCCTCTTCATGTTTCAACAACCTCTTCCAGTCACATTGTTCTGCCACCAGCAGCTGGCTTCAGTGGGCAGTTATGTCGCTATAGCAACCACTACTGGCACAGATCCACATCAGTTTAGCTCGCGTTGTGACACCCACCGTCTTTATCTGGTCCATGTCCAAACAAATATTAACTGAAGTCTTTTATCCGCTCCCCAAATGCCCATGTTTGGGTATTATCCGTTGGCACTCCTTTTATTGGAGCTGTTCTGTGATTTTCTAGTAGTTTGTTTTTCTGTGATCACTGTTGTCAATGTTAGCTGTCTGGTGCTAATGTGTTGCTAATGTAATATTCTAACCACTGGGTCACTGCTAGGATGCCTGATTTGCATTTGTAGTTTTATTGTGTATGTTTACAGCATTAATTCCTGTTTTGGACTCATGAAAGCTTCATATTTCCCACCGATAGAAAAATGTAGACAATTTTAAGAACCTATATTTGTCACTAACCAGAAGTGGAAGAAGTACTCAGATCTTATATCACAGTGTAGAAATACTACTTATAGTGGAAATAGAAATGTTTTAGCATCTAAAAGTATCAAGTATCCATTATTTAAAATGGTACGATTCAGACTAATGTATACAACTAAATTATAACTATTGATGCGCTAATATGTTCATCAGTTTAACCCCGTTCAGGACTTTTGGGGTGTTTTGGACCCCAGACCATTTGGTTTAGGTGACAGGTATTGTTTTTTTACTTTTGAAGATTATTATTATTTATTTATTTTATTTTATTTTTAAATAAAAAAGAGCAACATTTGTCATGCGTTTGGAACCAAAAATACACCAACTTATCAGAACATTCATTTAACATAGTATAAAAGGGTTTAATGAAAACCAACAAATATTTTGTACATATTCTTTCTTGGGGCCCAGTGCACCCCGAAAGACCATCTATGTATGGCAACATGAAAGTCCTGAACAGAGTTAATAATGAAGTTGGTAAAATACATTACAAATAATCTGTTTACATATTTACCTGTTATTGTGCTTTGTAGGCTATTATTAAACCAAATCTGCAATGAAAGTTATCCATCCATCCATCCATCCATTATCTATACACCTTAATCCTCACTGGGGTCATGGGGGGCTGGAGTCTATCCCAGCTGACTCAGGGTGAAGGCAGGTTCACCTGGACAGGTAACCAGTCTATCACAGGGCTACACTTAGAGACAGACAACCAAGCACACTCACATTCACACCTACGGACAATTTAGAATCACCAATTAACCTCAACATGTTTTTGGACTGTGTGGGAGGAAGCCGGAGAACCCGGAGAGAACCCACGCTGCACGGGGAGAACATGGAGACTCCACGCAGAAAGATGCAAACCAGCGACCTGCTAGCTGCAAGGCGACGGTGCTAACCACCGAGCCACCTTGCAGCCTGCAATGAAAGTTATTTATGAACCAAATCTGTAATTACTAAACTAAATCTGCAAAGTAACTATTAAATAGATGTAGAGAAGTCAGACCTACTATATTTACGTCTCACTTGTAGTGGTATAGAAACGCAAAGTTGCACAAAAAGGAAATACCAAAGTACAAATAACTCAAAATTAAGTACAGTACTTGAGTGAATGTGATTAATTCCTTTCCACCATTAACACAAACTCGTTTTACTTTTTTTTTTGTCTAAATATTGTGTTAATTGAACATCCTCCAACCTTGTGTCTATTTACAGGTCCAGATAGATAGTAGGTTAGTCCCAGGATTAACTGTGAAACTCCGAGTGGAGGATATGAAGAAATAATGCTCTTCCCTTCCTCTAAAGTCCCCTGACAGAAGCACTTCCCCTCTCATTGGAGCTGCTCTATATGTGGCTGAACTCCCACGGATCAATGTGTGTAACTGCATGAATGTGTAGCAGAGGGTTACCAAAAGAAGAGGGCATGCTGAGAAAATCCTTCCCAGCATGGAAAAGGTTACGCGCTAAGAGGAGAAAAAAAAAAACACTGAATGAGGCCTATCAGCTGTACGGTGTCTCTGGTGTGGTGGATCCTGGACAGAGCTGCCTGGCAGGCACTGAACAGCACTCAGAGCTCAGGGAGGATGAGAGGAAGTGGACACGACAGGCCAAATCGTCCAGGAAATCTTTTTGTAGCTTTGTTATTGCTTGAGAGAGCGCAACAGGCAGCGACTGCACACTGAGAAGGATGGAGTCCAGCTTCTCTTCGAGAGCCACGATCCTCTGGTCCAGCTCCCCGCTCCGATGCTGCAGCTCCGACACCAGATCGTACATCATGTTCTGAGTCTGGGAAGCAACACGGAGACAGTTCATACATCTGAGCTGCTGTGTTCACTTTCAAGGATCATCAGATTAAAGGATGTAAAGATTCTCACTCACCATAAACTTTAAAATATATATATATTAAAAAGGCAGCCAAATGTGAGTACTGTCTAATAGTGACAGTCCTTATGAAACGAAACAGTCAGGGCCAAGGCTGACTTTACAAGGAGGCTTTTATTACACTTTTAGTAACACTGACCCTTAGTGAGTCCACACCAAAAATAAACAAAATGTGAAACATGTGCCCAAGATTTCACAACAATTTCAAAACTGATAAATACACTGAATATACAAACCTTTGCAAGATCAGCGATTGTATTGGCCTGGTCAGTTAATTTCCTTTGCTCCAACTTGACTCTTCGTAATCTAAAAATGAAAACCGGAAACACTTTTTTTTTGTTCCAACTAAATTAAACACAGGGCACGGTTTGTGTTGGTTACAACTTAAATCATATAATCCTGAGAATAAAGATTCTCTCACAAACTTTACTGTAACAACATTTATTGGAAGAGGAAGGTACTTGACTCCCCGATGATGACGGACTGATACCTACTCGTGGATGGCTTGCAGGAATTTACGCTGATGGTGGCGCACCCTGGCACGGTCGACCTTCTTGACCAGCTTGGTGTTTTTGTAGATTAGCCACGTCTCTCTCAACACATTTGCTGCCGTGTTTTTTATCTGAAGAAGAAACAGTGTTCAAGTGAAAAAGCAGTCAAATGAATAGTTTTAAAGGATTTAACCCTTTATGGGGCAAGGGACCATATTTGGTAACTTCCTTGGACGTTCAATATGGCCGCCCTGTGCCTCTCCTTGAGGTTGAAGAACCATGTGCACTTTGATTTAGTTTTTGTATTAGTGCCAATATCACTACCTTACGGAAAAAATGTCACTAAACAAATGTTCCAGGCACTTTATAAAGTTTGGTTTCTTTTTTGAGATTAGTGCCAAAACCACTGTCCCAAGAACAATGTGACTAAATGAACTTGCCAAGCACTTTCTAAACACGTTCCTGGTTACCTCAAACTAAAATGTTTCTAAATAATTTTTATTTTTTTTTGCAGTTTGTTGCTTTTTCTTTTATTCATTATAAATTCCCTTTTTGGTGGTCAGCATCGTTGCCTCGCAGTTAGAAGGTCGCTGGTTCGCGTCCCGGTGAGGACACCCGGGATCTTTTTGTGTGGAGTTTGCATGTTCTCCCCGTGCAGCGTGGGTTCTCTCTGGGTTCTCCAGCTTCCTCCAACACAGTCCAAAAACATGTTGAGGTTAATTGGTGATTCTAAATTGTCTGTAGGTGTGAATGTGAGTGTGCTTGGTTGTCTGATTAAGCGGTAGATAATGGACGGATAGAAACTCCCTTTTTTTTTTAACCTTAGATGGCAAGTTACTACATATGGTAGCTTTATTAATCTTGATGTGCAACATTTATTTATTTATTTTAAGTCACAAAAGTAAAAATATCTTAAAATATCCTTCAATAGAGTTGAAATTTTCATTTTCCAAGTATTTCAAGGCGTTCCCTGTAAAGCCTTAAGTCATGTTTGCATCCTTTACTCTTTTAATTTGCTGGTATACTTTTTTTGCATCACTTTGTTGACTGTCTGTTAAGTAGATTCCACTTGGATTGAACTTTTACTGTTAACATCAAATGCATCTCTGTGTGCAAACAGACCTTTTTGTAGATCTGAGTGTCCATCATAAAGTTGTGCACGTGTTTCTCGGCTCTGGTGAGCTCTGACTTCCTTGCAACAACGGCGACCACTAAGGCTGTACAACCCGCTCCCTGAGGAGAACAAGACCGCTGGTTAGTGTCGCTGTAACGATGTGCTTATTGTAGCAGAAAGCATTGCTATCATCCATGTAATCCTTCATTTCAGGGCGGAATTCATACTGCTGTGAAAGTGCCATAGTTATCCATAGCAATGTATTACCAGTGCTACAGAAGATAAAACACTTAATGCATTAGATTACCCCATGCAGGGGAAAAAACAAACTTAATTACAATTATTAAGCTGCAGCTCGCTGAAATAAATCAATAATGTTCATGTATATTAGAGATGTATTAGTTAAAATATAGTGCCAGATTCACATGTGAGATTACAGCAAGAAAAAGTTTCACTACATGCAAATTATTTTTGTCTGTATTATAATTTTATATCCTTTAACTGCATCTCACCATAATTCCTGTTAACAGGCAAACCCCTTTCCCGCAGTAGGTGTGAGGGACCATGTCTCCGTAGCCGATGGACAGGAAGGTGATGGAAATCAGCCACATTGCTCCAAGAAAGGTACTCGTTACTTCCTGTGCATCATGATACCTGTTGAGACATGACACCTGACTGAAACAGCAGCTGGTGTTTATGCTTGAAGAGAGGCTGTGTGTCTTTGTCAGTCAAACCCAGAGAGAAATTTGACCAGTAGACCACCACTTTTCTACCTCATTTCTTTAATTAATATCCATTAATCACATTGTACGAAAACACACAAACCTGTGTTGAAAGAATGCAGTTAATACATTTCCAGATGATACCTCTCACATATGCGCACAGTCCATGCAGCGATGATCCAACAGGACACACTGAAGACGAGCAGGACTGTGCCGGGGCAGATGGTCATCAACGTCTTCATGACAAAACGAGTGTCAAAGTTGATCTTGTTGAGCGCTCCGATGCTGCGAGAGGAAGCATCTGTGAAGAGTTTGCTGTGGAGCAGCATGACCCGTCCGATCAGGTAGAGGCGCAGGAACATCGGCACGGAGAGGATGATGTCCACGTCGGCGTCCGCCACTGATGCCGTGTAGCTGAAGGCCAGCCGAGCCGTCCAGGTGAACACATACTGACCTGGGATTGGATGGATGGCACAGACGAGGAGCTCCAACCCGACGAAGAGAACCCGCTCAAAGGTCATGGCTATCCTCCAGTCGTCTGCCCCGTTGTCCACCATGAAGAGCTGGAGAGGAAGAGAAGAGAAAGATTCAGAGGAATGAATGATTCCTGCAACCTAAATGGACCAAGTTTATTAATATTTGGATTTGGGAAGCAAGTATTAAAGTTTCTTTACTGATACTCTGCAGCGTTATCAATCAATGATGTAATTATTGTTCAAACAAATTACATCATGTGGATGTTATTCTACATGCAGATTAAGTCATTTTTAATCATGGACACATGACATCTGCAGCAAAAGCAGCTTGGCTTCATTACCCTCTTGGCTGCAGGAATGCTGCCCTCGTAGACTTCAGTTAATTACTTGATGAAAGGGCTGGCCGGAAGCCATTAACCACCACAGAAGTTGTTGTCATGGTGCCCATTGCTCACTAAACCCCCACAGATGCTCTCTGCTTGCCAACACGGAACTGCCAGTAGTCTGAGTCACCAGAGTGTTAAACATGAATGAGCTGCAGTCTTCCATCTTGTTAAACAGCAAGAGGCTCTTCCTGGTGGCACAACGAGGTACTACAGCTCATGTACAACACATTTTCTGACATGCATGTTGTTTGTCTTCTGCCTAATCAGCATATACATGTATTTTAATTGATAAAATGATCACAGTATTTAATTGATTGATTCACAGTTAAACATTAACAACATTCCTTTTCCTTACTAAGTCAATACATAATAAAGGCACAGGTTTAGTACTGATGTCTGCTCTAGGATACGCAAATAATTCATTTTGTGAACCACCATTTACTTAGTTGAGTTGCTGAGGCTGGATTACTAGCTGGCTACCTAGCTGAGGTCCCTTAGGGGTCCCAGAAGACTCAGGTTCATCTCTTTGCACTGGTCGTGGCACTTTAATTAGTTATAAATGTGTTGAGTTATTTATGCCACTAAAGCACAATATCAACTCAGGTAGACGCCGTGATAGCAACGAATTATTCAACATTCAGAGTCAAGATCCATCGTTTTTAAATTTAGTTGTCATGTTTATTCCCAAATAAACTTGTGATTTATTCAAGCCAGTTCACACCTACCTGTTACAGATTTTAGTCATATTATAAATAAAGGTGAAGCATGTGTTTCTAATTCAATACAGCTAATAACAGTTCACCAGATGTTGATTCTGTGTGAGCTGAAAAAACTTGCTGTTCATCCACAGCCCTGGTTCTGCAAATGGAAAACAAAGTGAACCAATCAACACAACACTATTTCTGCATGTCCTGTGTCCGCTCAGGACACATGAAAAACAAGAGGGAGGGGAGATGGGATGAAGTGGGCAGTGGCAGAGAGTCGTTTGATAAATCTAGCACATGTTGACTATCTAACTATTCTAACTAGCTAAATATCAACAATCTTTCTCCAAAATAACACAAAGTTGAGATACAGCCAGAAACCTAAGGAATAGTTATTTATCTGAGCCTTGAGTTTATACTTTTTGCTTGATATGTGATACCAAGGTCAAGACTGCAACACATGGATTGTTCATTCATTCATACATACATACCTGAATTTCCCTTGCGTGGTACATCACAATGAGTCCAAGTAGAATGACAGTAGAAAGGCTGATCAGGCCTTTTAGCACATACGAATATATAGATTGCTGCGGGCGAAGAGAAAAACATCAACATGCCTGAGAAAGAGCAGCCAGTCTTAAAGATACACTTTATGAGAAGCAGAAATAAACTGTGGAGTAGGAGGTCATCTCTACAAGACAAGTCATATAATGGGCCTTAATAGCCATTTTAGTTAGTGACACAGTTGCTATGTTGGCGTCTGTTTCATTTGAATGGCATCCCACTGAATCACATTGAAACCTTGGCACATTTCAGTAATGTAGTAAATATTCACTTTTCTTGATTCCACCGCCGGCACATGCATGACTACAATGGTGGCAGGTAATTAGCTGTACAAAGTGTTAGAACACACTATGAAATCTACTTTGAGTGTTTCTTGTTCTACTTTATAAACAAAGTACCTTGCTGTAAAACTCCCTGGACAGTTCGATCTCGATGACCATGACAATAATACCAAACATCCCACAGACCAGCGCATAGTCGCTCAACTGTTTGCGCTTCCCAAACAGAGCTCTTCTCTGACCCAGCCGGTAGCTAAAGTCCTTGGTCTTCTTCTGTGGTACGGCGCCTTCCTCTCTGGTCATGTTTTCGCTGTTGGCCTTACTGGAGTCCTCTCTGATGACTTTAGAGAAGGCGTCCTCGAGGATGGCACTGTGAAGAAGCTGAAGAGGCTGCTGGTCTGAGTGAAGGTCTGCAATGCTAGACACTAAGGTGCCGTGGCTGCTCAGCGGTCGCACTGCGTCTCCGTTAAGTATGTCGCTAGTTTCTAAGGTGTCAAGCAGTGGAGGACTGTGTTTAGATCCACTGAGGTGCTGAGGGTTTGTCTGCAAAAAGAAGCAAGTAAGACTGTCAACCAGACTGTACGCTGTCAACGCAGTTCATGTAACGTATCTGACAACATCCTGTATCCTGAGAGAAAGATGGGGTCAAGAATAGGAAAAGACATCTTTCATCCACTACATTAAAGCTACCTGCCTAATATTGTGTAGGTCTCCTTCTTGTTCTGAACCATCAGGCCATGAACAGAGAACCTCTGAGGGTGTCTGGCACTGGAAAAGTGGTGACAGATCTTTTGGGTTCTGTGGATTGAGTTTTTTCCGCAAAAGCCACGGCCGAAATTCTTTGGTTTGTTCTACCTCACAATGCTTTTGCGATATCCTTTACATTCCTACTGATCCATATGACCACTTGATGCAGTCCAGCTGTATTACACTACCTGTTTAAGTAAACACACTGCAAATAGGAAGGAGAGATGATGTGACACCTGTGTTTAATGCTCATTATTAATTTTCAAATGGCCGTTGTCCAACAGTATCTAGTATCTGGACGTGAGCCCAGTTGCAGCTGAGAACTTGCAAAACCGATTGTGAGGAAGTTCTTTTAAAAACTTGTGACTTTTTGGGGAGCTCCGTGTATTCCAGTGCCTCCCGGTAATGCCCGATCAGATTGGGATCGTTCAAGTTTGGAGGTTGGGTCAATGCTGATCTGCTGTCGTAAAGGAGTGTGGTTGCCCTCGAGGGTTGTGCCTGGTCTGGAGCAATGTTTATGTGGCTGGTACACGCCAAAGTAAAATCTACATGAATGCGACGATGCACGGTTTCCCAGCAGATCATTGCATGTAATGAGATGATCACTTCACCTTTCAGTGGTTTTGATTTTGTTGCTAACTGGTGCCTCTTTTGCCTTTGTGACAAACATAGACGGAAGCCTTGCACTTCTTAAATGGGAAACAGAATATATCAGAATGAATTGTAATGCTTGTTTCAAGTTTTATATGTCCCAAACTAGGGCTGCAAGGCTCAGTGGTTAGCACTGTTGCCTCGCAGCTAGAAGGTCGCCAGTTTGCGTCCCGGTGAGGACACCCCCTGTGCAGCATGGGTTCTCTCCGGGTTCTCCAGCTTCCTCCCACAGTCTAAAAACATGTTGAGGTTAACTGGTGATTCTAAATTGTCCATAGGTTGTCTGTCTCTAAGTGTAGCCCTGTGATAAACTGGCGACCTGTCCAGGGTGTCCCCTGCCTTCACCCTGAGTCAGCTGGGATAGACTCCAGCCCCCCACGACTTTAAAGATCACCATATGAACCCCAGACTTCCATGATGAGACATCAGTCAAACTGATCAAACTAAATTTTGATGTCAGATTTTAAAAAATAAATAAGAAAAAATGTGTTTAAAACTTTAAAACAACTGAACTACTTCCCAAACTTGGAGCGCACTGCCAAATAAAGTTGTGTTTGATTAAACTCAATCTACAATCACTCTCTTAATGACAGGCTGTCGGGGATCTTCCAAGATGTATTTCAATATTTTTTTACAAGAAGTTCACAGGTTCAGGAAGCACTATTATATATATACATATAATCATGTATCTCACTTTGTCGCTGTCTTGTTCTTTCCTCCACTAAACCTTGGTTCTCAAGTGAACTATACTGGCTGGTGGAGAAAGACTTAACACTTTTGTTACTGACTGGTGTAGATGACCTCTTCGCCCACGGAGCGCTGGAAGGAAGATGACGGCACTTGAGGACGATGGACGGATCTCCAGATGATTTGCAGGTTTGATCACCGGTTATCGAGCAGTGGGATTCTTGCTTTTGGCATTGCTGAACTAATAGTGGTTCTTTACCAAAAACCTCTCTCCAGTTGACGTCCACAGTCTGTTTTTGAAGTTTCTGATTCGTCTTGGCAAACTCGATGGAGTTTACGGGAATGTTGAACAAATTTGGACAAGGTGCTTGGCTGCCGTCTTTGAGTTTAAAATGGTTGCAAGGTTGTTCTTTTCGATCTTCTTGGTCAGTGCACTGAGCCATGAAATTGTCCTGGTCTGACGCAGGTTTCAAAAGATCTTGATGGTTTGCTTGCTGGGGTAAAACCTGTCGAGTGGTTGAAATCTGGCTGCTGTGAGAGAAAGACTGGGAGTGTGGTGCAGATGAAAGGCTTCTCTTATTCGTGACTCTGGAGAGACGGTCTTGGACGGTGCCATGTTTTGCTTGTGGTTGAAAACCGGAGGCCTCTGAATGCTGGTGTGCATCAGGACAAGGACAACCACATCTGTCATTGTGGTTTGGATGTCCCACACTGGTCCCTGCTCTTTCTGCTGAGGGTGAATCATCTCCTACGCTGCTAACCTGGCTACAAAGCAGCAGCCAGTCCTGATCACTCAGCTGCGATAAGGTTAGACTTCGGGTTTTCAGTGGCGACATCTGGCCTGAACCTCTCGGAGGGCTGATTCCGTTCGATCTTTCGTGGGGTGAAGATGAAACACAGCACAGACTCTTCTCCTGTGGGGGTGAAGGCGTTTCAGCTGAGGTTCCGGAGTACGGGTCATGCTTCCCATCGGGCTTCTTTGTCAGAGACGACGGACCTCCTGAGGTGCAGTGTTCATGGTCCCCGTCTCGGAAGACTTCACCTGTCGAGTCCAGACGTCGTGTTGCGTTGGTGGGTTTAACCAGAATCAACCTCATGGCATCACTGCAGAGCTGCAATGAGATCACACGCACATCTTTTTTCTTTCTTTACATGTTATCAAAAAGTGCAACACAGATCCTGAATTATAACTGAAGGCAGGATTCAACACTGCAGCCTTCAGTTTCTTCTTTTATGGCACCAACACAGCCCAGAAATTAACAGAAGGCTGCACAGAGATCCATAAGTGACCCAAGCAAACCATGCAATTCTAAGTCTGCCCAGATTTTCTTAAACAGTGGTGGAAAAAGTACTCACATAAATGACGGTAATAATACCACTCTGTAGAAATACTTTGCTTCAAGTGAAAGTCATGCAACTGAAATTTTACTGGCAAAAGTAGAAAAGTACGGGCATAGCATATCAATAATTATTCATTATTTTTAAAGTACTGCATATGATGGGATTACACGTATTGATGCATCATTTTAATGCCGCAGCCTGTGAGCGGACTCAGTTTCATGAATTACTGTTCGGTAGCTTGTGTTTTTTCTCCCTCAGAATCAATGAGGCATTTGTTTTTTTTCTCGCTAATTGTACACCATTATTTCTTTTATTTTTTAATAACCTGAAGCTGCAACTGTATAATAAATATAAAAGTATCAAATAATAAAAATTGTAGCAGGAAAATGGAAATATCACGATGAGTGTAAATCCATGAAATCTGTACCAAAGCACACGACTTCAATAGATGCTCCGTCCACCAACAAACTTTAAAGAACTTTCAGAATGATTTTAATATATCCACAGGCAACACAACAAATAATGAAAGTAACGCTATTTTGCTTTAAAAATAAAGTCTTGTGTTGCATCCTCAGGTCTGATTTTAGGTCTTTAGCCTCAGGAATACTTTTCTTTTTCTTATTATTATCAACAATAATATTAATCAAACTCAATCATGATCATTTCTTTGGTGTGAAATGCTGTGAGGGGATAAAAGGTTTACTAAAAAGGAAACTCTTACATGAAATCTAATAGGTTTTTGAATTAAAAGACTTGTTTACGGAGTTACGGAGTAATTATTCAAACGGTCGCTGTTCTAAAAGCCATCATTTGCTTGATCTCAGGTTGTGTTTTCAGCTGCTTGTGAATATGAAACATTCTGTCAAAAGCAGATGTGACCCCCCACTAATGTCTGTTTACCCTGCTGGAAACCAAAAAGGCTGAGAGAGTGGTGTCACATAATCAATGAATGTGGTATGAAATGTTTCACGTTTTTAAACTGTTCTCTGCTACAATGGATCCCCTTTAGAATTGTGTTGTGCCATGTTACTCCTACATCTAATCTTGGGAGTAAAAGATGGAAAATAATGTAGTAACAGATGGATGGTTTTGAATTCTGTTCTTGTATTTACTTGCTTGATATTTTTTAATTATCCAAATCAAATTAAAATTCACCCTGAACTTTATTTTCTATTTTATTGTATACTTGATCTGTTGCATGCTTTTATTTTCTCAGCTCTTTTGTTTTAATAATTTATTACTTAAAGTTATGTTTTATTTTAGTTTAGGTTTTTTTTTTTGTAAAGCATTTGGAATAACCTCTAAGTATAAGGAGGTGCAAGGTTTATTTTAAAAAAAAAAACAAACAAACTATATGTATTTTGAGTGACTTAAATTTCACATATAAGCAAATGATAGAAGTCATTCTGCAAATTAAAAGAACAACATCTAAGTAATCGAACCTCTGTATGAATAGGAAGTACTTAAAAATACGACTAAAACTGTTCTAGTTCATCTTTACACACTTTATGATCTAAGTATGATTTACGAATCGTTCTCAGGAGTTCAAGTCTCATTAGTACAAAGTGTGCTTGTCTTAGTTTGGACTTCAGCTTCTTCAACTGCAGTTCATCTAACTTTCTGTTTTTTCTTTTTTTTTTAGTAAATAGCAATAACATATCCCTCCTACTACAGGTGATCCTTACCTTCTTCTTCCATGTGTTATTTTGTCCAGACTTGATGAAGCAGGTTACAGAGAGAGCTCCCGATTAGCAGAACACAAGTGTTAAGAAGAGCGATGTGAGTGGGTGTAGAGCAGCAGCCTGCCTCCTCCCAGTACGAACCCTCGATAAAGGAGCTTTAGAGACGCTCTCCTTTGAAAGTAATGATTAGAATTCAACATGAAGAAAGAAGAGGGCAGCAGCAGCAGCAGCCGGCCCGGTAAAGGGTTGCCATGCAAATGCACAGGGAGTGGGAGGGCGCAGCAACAGGTTAGGACGCAGAGAAGATAAAAATCTGTAACATCAGGCCGGCGTGTTTGGGCGGAACATCACACGCAGAACCTCAAAGACGTCCCCATAAATTGGGAGTGGACTGGTAGGTTGCTAGGGAAAAGAAAAGGAATTGGTAGCTTTCAATGCAAAGTGGAAAATAAAAGGTCAACTGAACTAGTCATTGAAGCTCCGCGGTTCAAAGGCCTTCGCGGTCTCTTATCTCCTCCGCCACAAGAGCCTGCAGGACAAAAGTGTCCATTTTTAAACGCGGTTCTGAATGAATCAAGCCAGCGAGTGCAAGGCCTCATCAGCCGCGTCCTAGAAGATCTAACAAATGTAAGCGTACGAGCAATGTTTGCAGTATGAAGAGAGACATTCTAAAGCAGCACTGTTGACAAAAGACAGATATGAGAGAACATCCAGATTCACGTATCAGGAGCGTTTTCCTCAAACAAATACTTCTGTAGCGTTTGTGTTGGTATCTAGAAGCATGAACGAAGCTTAATGCCGTTCAATGTGAAGAACACACGACTCTAACATACAGATTATTTCCAGAAACATGGTAGTTTTCTTCATTGCTGCCCATTTTGTGTGAATAACAACACTTGCTTTACACTTCTCCTTTCACTTCCAGAGCTGCAGAAGAGTCCATGTTGTTGAACCTCATGTCCCACAGAACACTGCTGGTTTTGTACTTCAACTGTTATCTTGTTTAGCTGGACTGATATTTAGGCAACTTCTGCCCCGTTTATGTGTGCTCACTGTGGCATCAGGCAAACATACAAAGCCTGCAGCCTGCTGCCTCAGCAGCTCAGTTATATGAATGTTGCTGCGCTGGAGAAAACCTTTGTGTCCAGCAGCAGCAGCAGGTTGTATAAATGATCACCAAACTCATTCGAAAGCAACAACTAGTACAACCATGGCTGCATTTAACCAAAACCCTACAAAATGTTTTCTAGAAATTGTGCACGAATAATCAGAAATTATTTCCCTGAGAAGTTACTTTCCACTTTTCCAGTCTTTGGTCACATTTCATCATGACATCAGCAGAACCTGATGTGGTGAAGTTGGACCAGACAAGGTTCCAGTTTTTACATGTTTTCACACCAAAACTGTCATTTAGTCTAATTGTGAGTCATCATTAAACACATTTCCAGTCATTTTGGCCATTTTTAGTGTAATTTAGAATTTTTTTTTTAGGTATTTCTGGACTCTTGTTATTCATTCCTCAGTCACATGGGAGTGTTTGGTCCTGTTTTTACACAGAAACACATTTTTGAGTCACTTTGGATCTTTAACTAATTAATAAGTAATTTTTCATAAATCTATGTAAAAGGAAAAAAAAAAGGTTTGTGATTCAGGATTAAAAGCAACACTGCGCTGATGAGCCCATGACTTCAACACAGCGGTAGCACAGCTCTGAACATCTGGATCATAACCAGTGCCAGAAAGCCACCATGGACTTTCTCTACTGTGAAGAAGAATAGGACTTCATAGTCATGGCTGGTCAGAAGCCAAAAGGGTCTGGCAGCATAGATAAGGGAGGCCAAACTCAGCTCCAGTCTGACGTCTGGAGAGGTCTTCTAAACAATGTCCTGAAAACATTGTTGAAGTGGTAAAAACGTGAAGAGGTTTTACGTCTATTTGCATTGTTTTTCTATTCCATTAAAAATACAGGCGATTAGATGGAGAATTCTGTTCTTGGTAAAAGTACCTACACCAGGTGAGTTTAGAAGTAGAAGCATCAGCTAAGTAGTAGAACATGTGAACAGCCAGTGAAGACAAGTGGCAACGTTAAAGGTTCATCATTTGCCGTTAGCACTGCAGGTAATGAGGCGACAGCTCCTCCACACTGAGGAGTTACAGCACAAATATCTGACATTTAGGAGTCAGCGGGCACTTTGACAGTTGATCTCTTCACTATCTGGGCACTTTTTTAGAATAAATACAAAGTTATGAGAACTGCTATTACGCATCTAAAACACACGGTGAAGATATGTTCTCACTTCCTGTTTGTTTATATTCAGGAAACACTCTTAATCCACTGACAACAGCCGCATCAAAGCCATCTGTTCTGCTATTCAAGCATACAAGTGGCTCCTGTGTAGCAACCAAAAGGCCAGAAAAACCCTGAAGCCTCTTTCAGCAAGAGATGTTTTAAATGTACCGTGAGTTCTCTGGTGGTTGTGTACTCTGGACAAAAAGCTGCTTACCGCTTGATTTAAAGGTTAAGTTTGAACACCATCTTCTTTTCTGAATCAGCTCAGCACAACAGCAGCAGCAGTTTGTCTTCAGTATGTGGTTCGATTTGCACACCTCCTAACATCATGGAGCACACATTTAAAAGCAACAAGAGATGTTGATGATCGAGCAGTGAACTTTAATAAGTTACTCTCTAAACATCTGGCTTCCCACCTAGCCCGAAGTGCTAAAAAAAAAAAAAAAAAGATGTAAGTAAATGTATTAGAAGCTGAGATGCCTAATTAGAGGCCATGTGCACAAACGTGATGATCAGCTGTTACTCTGATAGGTGGAAACGAGCTTCTCCTCGCTAGTGAATGAGTCCTCTGGCACTGGAGAGATTGTTTCTGGGCAGGTGGTGGTGAAGCTCTCGTCAGCAAGACTCGTCTTTTCAATGAAACTATTAAATTTTCCAATGGAAGTCTCCAATGTGCATAGGCAGACAGTTTCAAGTGGAGTTACGGGCGAAAGAGTGCGTTCACTTTGAGTTGTAGGTGGCAAAGCGCTGGTTCAGGGGGTTCTCTGGCGCCTTAGCCCACTCCTTCTTCAGCTGCTGCTTCAGCTGAGACAGCCTCATGTTGGGGTTCTCCATTTTTAGACGAGGCATGTTCACCTCTTCATAGGCAACAAATGCCGCTTTCATCCTCCGCTCTGGGTGGCGGTCCAGGTCCTCGGGTCCCGTGCTGGAAGACAGGAAGACAGGATCAGCGATAACATTTGCCGTAATCGTGAAAGAACAGCAGGATGTCACACACAATCGGTACCTGAGCACAGCAATAGCATCTTCTATTGTTCTGGCTTCCACGGTTCCTTCCTCAGGGATAACTCTGTTCACGTTCTCCTCCAGCGGAGTCTCCAGGTGGCTCTTTTCTGTGGGAAGCAATTAAATATGAAACATGACAAAGTTGGTGACACAGGTTTAAAAAAACAATCAGTGAATCTATGAAGTATTTTACTATTTATTCTAACCAACACATCTTCAACCTGAACTTTACCTTTCGGGTTGAGCCCCTGCTGCTGCTGCTGCTGCTGCTCATTCAGAAGCGTCTCCTCGATCTGGGCACGCGTCACTTTTCCACCAGCTGCAGCTTCCCTCTGGGCTCTGCCTTTCAGCCTGGAATTCTCCTCATCCAGAAGTCGCTGGTTTTCCTTTTTCCTCTCGAGGAGTTCCATCCTCCGTTTCTCCTTGTCATCCTGCGACGGCAGAAAATCGTTTCATAAATAAGAGTTGCTCCTCTTCAGTGTTTGAACAATAAGTTATTTTGGTCACACACAAGAAATTTCTTCACTATTCAGATAGTTTCACTAATGTTTCCCTCACATCACACATGTAGCCTCGTGTGCCAAATACTGAGGATAACAAAGGCGTGATAAAATCTATCCCCTGTGAGGCCCGTGGAGACTGTTCACTGAAGTATTTCTGTCTGCAAATGATATGACGTGAGGTCACGCTCAAACTCAAACAGGGGAGTATCTACGATTGTGGCAGCTACAGTAAGTTCAGTAAGTAAACAAGTTCAAGTAAACATGACGGTAAATACACAGGATCGTGTTAAACTATATTTATTACCTGCAAGTATTATAAGTGTTCAATAACTGGTTATGTTATGCATTTGTCATAACATACCATTGTCAATGTTATTTTCTCCATTCTGCCCAGTTTGCTAAACCACTGCCCCCCCCAGGAAATGAGGGTGCAACAAATAAGAGGCCAGAAGCACAGTTTCTATCAACATCAAAAACTGAAGCTTGTATTCTTGATGTTGCAGTGGTTTGTTTCATTGTCCAGCTTAAACATTTAGTCTTCAAAGTTCCTCTCCTTGAACCGATTGAACCCCTAAAAGCTCATCAATTTTCCTCAGAATTATATATTCCAATTATTGTTTTTTTTTTTCACCAGGAAAACAATCCCTTGCTTTAAAATGGCTTGAATATGACTCTACACTCTTGCTCACTTTACAATGACTAGATCGATAAAGATCCAAAACAGTTCCCACCATTATCGCCAGCAGCTCATTTTCAACTCAGACTATGCTACCTAATGTCAAGGAGTAACACTGGAGCAATGCATCTGTACAGGTTCAAACTGGAGATTAACTCTGGAGAACAGAAATGTCATGAAAAGCCCCACCCGACCAGCTGACAGGATCAGGTTTATTATGTATGAAACCATGACTGTCTGAATCTGTCACCACTGTTATCAGTAAACTGGACGATCAAGGCAGAAAGGCTTAGTCATGGTGTTAACTGCTTTTTCTGTCCTCTAGGAAAACACAATATCGTCACGTTACCAAGGTTTAAAACTTGATTAAGGGGTCTTTATCATTTGTACAAATATCAGTTAGTCTGCATCAACTTCGCTGTGACCACACATGTCAACACACCACGTGTCTGGAGAAACAGCTCACCTTTCTCTGCTCTTTTTTGAGTACATGTTTGTCAGTTTCCTGCCAGAGGGCATCCTCTTCCTCCTGCTTCTTGCGGGCGTCTGCCACTGCCTTGGCCTCAGCCTTGCGGGCTCTGGCTGTGGCCGCCTTGGAGTTCTCACCCTGGAACTTCTTTGGCATCCCAACAGCTGCTTTTTAGCTGGAAGAGACAAGGAAAGATCAGAAGAACAATCAGAAGAGTTTTAATAACAAGAGATTTTTACAGACAGATACACAACACAGATACAGCCATTCTATCTGAAACGTCGTATTAGTGAAAGTGGTCATTTGCAGGTTTAATAGGTAGCATTTACCTAAAGCTAGATGTGCAGCTAACTCACTGAAATGTTTTCGTGTAAAGAGCACATACAGTAACGCCAGTTACTCTTGTAAAAAGGCTACCATAAGTAGTTTAGCATCAGTTTGAAATCGTCGGGCAGCAAACACGTTGGTTACCAAACAGGCGAGCCAGCAAACCTCTAAAATTATAAAAACTCTTGCCGTTTCGCTTGTCAGTGTAGCTAGCTAGCACTAGCTAGCTGCTGTTAGCCTGATAAACCAGACTGGATTGCCTGTCAACAAAAACAGCCACTTCCTGTGCAACTCTACCACAACTGGGCTAAGAAGATAATTATCATGTCACATAAATGCTTGGGTATAAATACGTTTTCCTACCAGTATGAGAGAAAAACCAGGCCCCTGGTAGACGACAGTCCACTGCTGTTTCGAAGAGGCATCTGCCACCTCCTCTCCGTAACCAGGTCGCACTTTGATGACGTCACTTCTGTATTTACCATAAATCATCTTCATTTCATACTGCAGCACATTAAGGGTGAAACACTGTAGTTTTCTCTTACGATGTAGTCCTTGGATGTAAACCTCTTATTGATAAAATTTAAATTTATATCTAAATGTCAACAAGTGTGATTTTATTTGTCATCAAGTAATACTAACACCACTTACTGACTTGAAGTGACATGGGACTATTGCTGCAGAAAATAACCTAGAAAACGTATCATGCATTTCAACTATATCTCTATTTGTCAGTACATTTGAACCTGATTGGGAAGGCAGTCATTGCAGATAATTTCTGTTTGGTACTGATTGCTACAAAACTGTGAGAAGTCATTTTTGGTCACATATTGAGCACATAAATGGTTCAAAACTACCAATTTCTGTGCTGTCAAAGAAAATCTAAACCAGTAATCTCAGCACTAAGAAGTACTTACCCAGTACAATGTTTTATCCTAAAATGTAGTGACATATAAAGTATTAAATTCCACCTCAACGTATGACTGGCTGACTCTAAGAACAACATGTCATACTTGAGTCAAGGGACGAAGACCAGATATTAAAACTACAGTTTCAATATTTTATTATGATAAACAGTTCACACAAATATTCAAGAATAGGACCTATGCTGATGGTTTATGATACAAAAACAACATGATAGAGAATCATTTTTATGAGAAGTGATGACATGTATTAAATACAGAAACAGCTGGAGAGAAATTCAGAAATCGTTGTCGCTTTCCTCCAACAAAGGAGGTCTCATGCCTCCCCGAGGGGGACGAGGACCCCTGGACACCGGGCCCTCCAAACTGTCATCCTCCAAATCCTTGCTCTCCTCCTCCTCGTCTTCCTCATCTTCCTCATCATCCTCGTCCACATCGATTTCGCTGTCTTCAGTCTGAAACCCTCCTCCTCCTCCTCCTCGTCTTCCTCATCTTCCTCATCATCCTCGTCCACATCGATTTCGCTGTCTTCAGTCTGAAACAGCAGGCAAGCAGGGACACATAACAACCACAACAATCACCAGACGGTAGCAGTCGGTTTCTGGAGTCTAAGTAAACGATTAAATATGTCTTAGGTTACTTTCCTGGACAATTATTCAACACACAACGTAGAATCACGACAGGAATGGGCGTGTTTTCATTCAAACTAAACACAGAAACGGCTACTTTCTCTCCGCTACTTCGATGAGAGACAGGAGGGTCTAATTACTGAATCTTTTGTTCTAGTGAAAACATGCACAGAGTCCACAACTGGTTTAAAAGGGAGTCCCTGTACTGCAGCTGGTCCATCCAGACGTGTAGCTTTTGTCTAATATAAAGGAAAAATCCACACTAAACTCCAAATTCAATGCGTTTTATGTTCAAGAACATAACAGTCAAAATGCCATACGGAAGACACGTGAATAACAACTTCCAAAGCAGATGCATCAATGGAGCATTACTTTCTTTCTCTTCTTTTTTTACTTTCTCAGCGGTGCTTTACATATTTGTAGTGAAGTCTACTCTGTATATGTACGGCACTATTAGTATGATGCAAGTATTCATACACGTGTTCTCTGTGTAACTACTGTATTAACACTCCTGACAGTCATTTTGAACCACACCATGCAGCTGATGCATCATCAATCTTTATTGTGTCAGGATTGTGGATTTTTCCTTTAAACACACAAGGAGGAAAAAAAGGGGTGAACTAGCTCCTGGTCCTGCACAAACCTTTCCTTTCCGCTGTTTTTTGGCATGAAGAATTGACCTTCTGGAAACAGCTAAACGGGCCTTAAACAACAAGTCGGAAACCAAAATGGGTGAGATACTGATCAGAGGATGGGGAACAGGACAGCTGGCTGAAAGTGACAAAAGTTAAACGGCAAGTGTTCGCCGTCAGCACCGTTTAGGGCCAGTGGAAGCACAACAAACAGAAAAGATCGAATCTTTACAGTTGTAACACACAAAATGGAAAGAGCAAGAAATGAAGCGAGGACAGAATCTTGCATTGATATATAAGACACAACTAACCTCATCACTGTCACCGCCCTGCATGTTCCCAATGAAACGGGCTCCTCTGCCTACGTAAAAAAAAAAAAAAATCAAATACAAAAGAAGCTGTATTTACATGAATGAGTCTGACTGGACATTTTCAAGGTTTAAGCATTTTATTTTTGAGAACCAGATTAAAATCAATCAAGATCATAGAAAACAATATTGACAACATGTTGTCTTTACTTAACATTAGTCTTCGCTCGTGTTAATAGTTTATCACAAAGAAGGATGTGGCTATCTCCTGGTACGTACCTGCCATGATGCCGTTTCGTGTGGGTCGTGGTTTAGAGGGCCGACACTCTTCCATGTCGCTGTCTGAACCTTCGTCCTCTGGAACGTCCATGTCAGAGTCCTCTTCTTTTACTGCAGAAGATATGTTTTATGAAACAAGCGCCTGAAACCCAAACAGGGTCGAGATTATGTGATTTTTAAAAAACGCTGTTTGTCTTACAGGAACTCTTCATCAGCTCCCTCTCCTCCTCTCTTAGTTTGTGTTGCATTATCCTCAGAGTGTTTTCAGCTTCCTGTCGGGGAGACAAAACAAGTTAAATGCAATATCCAAGTACTGAAGTCTTAAAACCAGTTTCTACACTCTTTCATCCACAGGAATGGTTGTCCCACTGCATTCAGCGTAACATCTAGTCTTGAATAGTGAATGATATTTTATATAGAACGGTACCAGGAGAGGGACACTTATTGTGAGTGCAGCTCCTTTTAGGTATGTTTACTTGTTTTGAACGTCTAGAAATGCTTTAATGTAGAAGTATAAATGCCGTTTAAACAATTTTAAACCATGAGAAGGATAAATTACTGTCTTCTTAGGCTGAAAAATAAGACTGAGAGAGAAGAAGTGTTTTTTTTTCCTCTATTCACAGGAAAAATTATTCTAAAACACATATTTGCAGGTCAATACAAGTCTTTGGATGCTAATTAGGTAACAGGAGTTTTAAAGGAAAAATAAACGTTCGCATATCCTCCACACACACCTCAAACCTCTCCTGTTCCAGTCGATGATATTCGTCCAGCTGAGACTCCAGGAAGCTGAGGTTCCTGAACTTCTCCACGTACGTGTCATATTGTTTCTGCAGATCTTCCTCGATCTTCTCATATTCGTCCATGAATGCTGGCCTAAGAGATTAAGAAAAATCAGCACAGACATCATTATAGTCAGTAAAAGTTGTGTTTAAAGGCAAGGAACAAAAACTTTAAAAGCTTAATAAAATAGCTTCGTCTTAAAAACACAATTTTTGCCCAACAGTGGAAATAATGAAAATCTAAATATAACACTCTTCTATTTACTTGACGCTTTGTTTTTAATTTTCTTACAGCAACAAGTAATAATTCCTGTCATTTTTGCTTTCTGCTGTCTGTCAGGTACAAACTGACCTGACACTCTGCAGGGTCTGGAGCCTCTTCCGATTCCTCTCCAGCTCCTGCTTCTTCTTTTCTATTTTGGCGTCCAAACTGGTCTCATCAGACACAACATTACTCAGCATGTCTTTGGTCTTTTCCACACTTTCCTAAATACAAAAAGCACAGTGACAGATTAGGTGCTTTATGGGTAAAATTAATTCCTTTTTTAATTTTAAGAGGGGAAAATGGGGAATAAAATGGAGCCTGCCAGAATTAATACAGACCAAAACCTCCTTGATGGAAGCCCTCAGGGCCTTTTCAGTCTCATTGATCTCCAGAGGTCTGGCAATGGCTGCAGTTCTCATTTCCTGAGTGACGTGAAGAAAGACAGGAATGTAATCCTCTGTCACCGATGTCTTGTCAAACAGACTGCATCATAATTGTGCTCTCATCTGAGATCCACTGCAGAAAAACAGAGTGAAATCATAACGTCATATCTGTGTTTTCCCTCACCCTTAGGTCCACCTCTTTTCCCAGTAAATCATATAGAGATGCTCCTTTAGATGTGACCTCGGATGCCAGCTGCCGAGCTGCTTTAAGATCGGAAATCTGCATTGAAGACAAAGTGAAATATAATCAGCAACAGTTTTCTCCTTCCTGTCGGATTTTCATAGAAGACAAATGTAGACAAAGAGAAATGGCCTAACCCTAACCAACCTGAATGTACGGCGCATCAGCAGTAAACCTGCATAATACATGGTACTTGCTTCATTTTATCAGTCTGAGGAGCAACTTGAGGCTAATTTTAAAAAAAAAAAAAAAAGTATACTTAATATTTCTCTGAATGATTGTTTGAAAAGTTAATTCACAGTCTTATGTTTATATGACATAATAGCAGATGCTATTTGACGTATGATATTGCAGATTCTGAATCAATGGCAGGATGTGAATTAACATGAAAAACTTCAAAATTTTATCACCATTAGTTTCTGAGATCTTGCCAAATCATAGCCTCAAAGCTCGTTGTGCTGAAAGTGGGTCAACCAGCATTTATCTTTAAAAAAATATCTCAGAAAGCATTTCATATATTAAGCAAAGATTTCACAAATATCTTTATTTTTATTTTAAATTCATTTCTCACTGATGGCCAATATTTCTTCAGTCTGTTCCTGGTCTTTATAAAACCCAGTGCGGTAATAATTGTAAAGCTGTGATCCAACATATGTGAATGAATTCACATTTTCAGTCTCCAAATTACTGTTGTGATTCATATTCTTATGATTAAACAGGATATAAAGTGGCTGCTCTCTCGTTTATGACATCTTAATGAAGTTGTGTTTTTTGCTGCAGGCATAAACCTTGGTCACAAAGGCTCTAACGAACAACTCTAAAAGTTGTTGTAGTGCAAAAACAAAATCTAGCTTCTGTTTCATTTTTCTACACTTTAATTCACTGGGATCGCCAAACTACAAGTTTCTCTTTAAGAAATCCCTCAATATATTGTTCTTGGTGAAACTGTACATCTGACTGGTTAGTAGTTGAGTTTAGAAATGAATGAGGATACAGTAACAAAGACGTAACATTAGGCACAGTGTAAAAATAGCAACTCACCCGTGAGCCGAGGTCAAACTTAAACTTGTTGTTGTCCTCCTCAGCTCTATCTCCCAGAGCCATCTGCTTGGTTTTCATTGCACTGTACAGCACTGAGGTGATCTTCAGCATCTCTTTCACTGCGTAGCCATCAGCCTGGTAGAGACGCTTGGTGTTCACTTTGATGTGAGCCTTTGTCGCCTGCAATCAGGTGAGACACTGGTTAAGACCAACCGATTAGCAGCACGTGTTCTATGGCCAAGAATAAAATGCACAATCTGTAATAAACATATCACAGCATGTCACCATAAACTGAGCCACAGCCTTGACGAAGAATATTCTGTCTGACTCTGTGTCCACATCAGTGGGAATATCAGTGTGAGGCTCATATCTATATGGAGAAAGAGAAGGACGGGGAGAGAATGACAAAGAGCAAATTACATCACAGTATCCTGACCTCCACATGAGATGTCTATACATAGTCTGGACAGATCTAAGTAAAAACATTGACATCAATTGACACCAAAGCAAGGGGACTGAGTTCATGGATAGATTAGTGATATAGTATAATATAGTAAGTCTATTTATATAGCACCTTTAAGAACAACAATTCACAAAGTGCTTTGTCAGGTAGAACATAAAAAACAGATAAAATATCAGGCAGGACAGGGCAAACACAGGTAAATAAACACCGTAAAAAAAGAGAATGTACAGAATGGATAGGTAGTTAAAAGCTGGTTAAAAGGACGACATCACACAAGGGACTTAAGAGAGAAGCTGAAGAGAAACTCAAAGATAAATGATGTAAAAAATTCCAACAAAATAAACCATAAGAGACTTTTAGTTAGTGGGAGGGTTTTTAAGCTTGAAGACTTGGATTTTTTTAAAGCTCAAACATACCTCTTTACAAGCCATATTAAGATCTCTGCCACTAGAGTGAAGTTTGGTGTTCTGAAGTTCTCCATAGAGATCAAGCGAGGATAGCCCAAGGCCCTCATCATCTCTGTGAAATCTGCCAAATAAGACACAGTTTCAGTTGCACTCTGCTCGTCTATGCACTGTAATGTTCATTACACACAACACTGAGCAAATAACAAGCATCACTTACTTCTTAAGTCTCTGAAGGACATCCTGAACTCCAAGCCCTGTGCAGCAAAACGTGCTGTGGTTCCTCCTCTGGAAGTGAAAAAGAGAAAATGTGTTCGAGCTATTGACAAAACTATATATGAAGAGTGGATTGAAGATGAGTATAGAAGGTGTCACTGACTGGACTGTGAAGATGTCTGACAAACTACTGGGTCATTGGAATACTACTGATTTGATTAAAATACACATGAACCACTACAAACATCACCATCACTGACTTAAAAACAAACCTATCATCGCTATTTTCGAATAACGAAAGCTACAAATGCTCACTGTGAGATCACAAACTAATCAGTGGTTCTCTCGCTTAGTTGGATTTCAGTGTTGACAAACGTAACATAATGTTCAAGTAGCAGCAGAGAGTGTAAATACAACCTTGATTTAAGCAGCATGAGTCTGATTAGCTAGCTTAGCTAGCCTGTCGCTAGCTGGAAGTTAGCAGAAAGCTAATGCGCTTGAGTCGCCGGTGGCTAACGGCGGGTTAGCCAGTAAAGACACGTTATACTTTGAAACTACCTGACTAGCAGTTATCAAACGAAGCAAACAGTTTTCAAAGGAGTGGTTTAGTTACCTGTTGTTGTTGTGTCCAAGCTAGGGGTCCACTGGGCTCTACCACAGACGGTCTCTATGGAAACCGAGCTTGTTCTACGGAAGCTCAAAGCGGACAAAAATATCAGCTGGGACAAACGCGATTGGAATCAACATTAGCTTTATGTGAACACATAGAAGGAATAGCTGAGTATTTTCTTTGCTCTAAAAGTGCTTACACAAATAAAACCCACAT